TACTATTTAGTGTTCAGTATTTATGATGAAACCTTGATTGATAAGTTAGTAATAGGATAATCGGAACTATGCCATAAATTGTCTATTCTTTAACGGAAAATGTAGTGATTACAATTTTAATAATGAACTAATTAGCTTTGACTTCCCTTAAAAATATGGAGGATCCAAACCCAAGAGAGACTGTCCATGCATGTGAGGCTAGTTTTGCTCTTCTGGAGTCGTTCTCTTTCATCTTTTCTTTATTAGATTTTAAATTAAAGTGCTTGATCATTTTAGCAAGTGACACAGTGAAAAGATGCATACAGAAAGGATTAATCTCCTCTAACATACTTCAGCTCTCACAGTCAGATAGCAAGTGTACACAGTGGCCCTACTTGTGAAAACATTTCTGAAGAGGTAAGCTCTCTTCGTGCTCACTCACCGTCACCGTTATGTGAGAGTTCACATGAGGTTCCATCTGATTTCCTTCCAGAAAACCGGAGCCTTTCATGTAGTTTTGATGGGGTTAGACTGTAGGGAGAAAAAGTGGTGGTTTCGTTTCAGACTCTCCTCATCTCAGCAGTTCAAGTTTATATACACCTTTCTCTCATGGTTGAGTTCTTTGGAGATGTGCTTAAGAGAAGGCTCATAGAACTTAAGGTTTCTTTTGTATGTAACATCACTAAACCAATACAAGACAAATTTAACATTTGCTTAAAGAACAATTGTTTTCACTAATGTACCTTGGTGTATGAACACAGGCTTTGTGGGTTTTACGAAAAAAATTATTTTCTGTATCCACACTTCCAAGACCAGTCATTTGCACAGGAGAACTGAGCCTATATTTTTATCTTAGGGGATACTCTAAACAGGCAGTTCTTTGAAGAGTGTGGGGAGGGCCTGGCATCACTTTTTGTTATCCTAGCTCAGTGGTCGGCAAACTCATTAGTCAACAGAGCTAAATATCAACAGTACAACGATTGAAATTTCCTTTGAGAGCCAAATGTGTTAAACTTAAACTATATAGGTAGGTACATTGTTATTAACTTAATTAGGGTACTCCTAAGCTGGCCTTTGCTAAAAACTCAAGGGGCCAAAAGCCACTTGTGGCTTTTGAGCAGCAGTTTGCCAACCACTGTCCTAGCTGATCCAAGTTAATCATATTCTGGGGCTTATTGCCATTCTTAACCTACAGCAGAACCAGTGATGTGCATGTGATAAAGTTCTCCACATTTTCCTAAGATTCTGTAAGGTTCTGCTTCCTGTTGAGAGACACTGTTGATATTTCTGTTTATTTCAAGAAATTGTTTCATTGTGTATTACCCTTCAGTCTAACCTTTGCTCCTGATGATTATCACTATTTTTTTTTTTTGGGGGGGGGGAATGTTTCTTGAGTACACTGTAGCAATTTTGAAAACATCCCGTGATACTCAAAATCTCTTGAAGTAGGTAGAACAGTTTTAATCATCTTCATTTTATAGGTGAAAAATTTGAAGCTCAAAGGTTGCTTGAGTTGATCAAGATTCCACAGTTGTTGAAAACGTGAGCTTTGGAGTGTGAAGGGTCTGTGTGGGTCTGAGGCTTTAAGGCCTATTGACTTTAACTCTCATGTTCTTCCTTCTTTATAAGCAAAAACTTCTAGTTCAACAGCTTATTCAGCACTATAAGTCATATTCTAACCAAATAGCTCATGTGCCTAGTGTTTTGTTGCTGCTGTTGTTTTTTGCTACAGTAATAGAAGTGAAGGAGAGTTGGTATTCTGTCCTGAAGAGCATTCTGTGTACAGGGTGTCCGTCCCAAAACATGTATACACACTTGAACAGCTAATGCTCAGTTTTGAAAATGAAATGTATCTTAATAAACACTGCCTTTATAATTATTGAAAGTGTGTGTCTATATGTTTTTTGAGACACGCTCTATTACACTGTTAATTGTTATCAAAGAAAAGGAGCACCTGACTTCTGGATTCTGTGACCTTGTAATTGGGCTAGCATGAAAACAAGGAAAAGCAATGATTATAGCAAGATAAAACAAAAAGGAAACACAGAGTTCAAGAAAGAAATAATCTCTGTGCACTCGTAACGGGAGTGGTTAGCAGATTCTCAGTGGCTCTGCCCCAGTGCTGCCGTGGGAAAGGAGAGGCGGCCTGGGTGCGCTCGTGGGTGCGTTGCCATGGGCACAGCTGGTGCTTCGCTCCTGTTCCTCCGCCCACAGGTCTTCCCCTCACCACCGACCGCTTCTCTGAAGAATTTACAGGCGGCTGTTTGCCGTCTCCCCAGCGCCCCCGCGATCCTCTGTGGTTGAGTTTGCACACGTTCATGTGCATGCTAGGACTCCAAAGGGGCAAACTGCAGCCCAAGCCAAGTTCCTGAGTCATGTGTCAGTAAATGAAATAAACGCCCCGACCGACAGAGCCTGGGGCACTGGCAATAGAGAGAGAGGGAGAGACAGAGGAGTTAGAGTAGTGGGAGATTGAGGTCTGGCCCTTGAAAGCATTCCCTCCCTTCTCCCCCCCTCCTTCTCTCCCCCCCCCCCCCCCGAAATTACTTCTTACCTCAATGTGGTAACTTCACCCCTAACTAGAAAAGCATGGCAGGTCCTGGCCAAGCTGGTTAGAGTGTCACCAGAGTTCAACCTCCAGTCAGGGGAATCAACCAACGAATACAAACCGATGTCTCTCTCTCTCTCTCCAATCAATAATTTTTTTAAAGCACTGCAATGGCAACTTGGTTATCAATACATATGTACAGGGGCATATAGAGTGGATGTACTTATGGACTTTGTACTCTGTTCCATTGGTTGGTCTGTCCATCTTAATAAGACCATTTTATAATTATGAAGCTTTATAACAAGTCTTGATGTCTGGTAATGTAAGTCCTTCAACCTTGTTCTTATTCATTAAGATTACCTGGCTATTCTTGGTTCTTTGAATTTCCACTCATGTTTTAGAATCAACATATCAATTTCCACAAGAAAAGTTGATGAAATTTTAATGGGATTTCACTGAATTTATAGGAACTAGGGAGAATTGAAATCTTTACAATATTAAGTCTTCCAATCCAGAAATGTACCAAAAACTCCAAGAAAGGAAATCTACAGACCAGTCTCTTGTGAGCATGATGCAGAAATCCTAAATCAAATCCAGCGATATGTAAAGATTTAACATATCATGGTCAAGTTTAACACTGATTTAACATTTTAAATCAATGTAATTCATATTAATAGAACTAAGGAATAAAATCTTATGCTATCTTAAAAGATGAACTGTGGGACAACTATAAGAAATGTAACGTGCACAGAAGGTCAATCCCAGAGGAAATATTTGAGGCAAAACAGAGAAGTTTTCAAATTTAATGATAGGCACCAATCCATGCTGTCTCAAACCATAGATTCAGGAAGCTCAGAGAACTGAAAACAGTGGCAATTTGTTGAAAGAATGAGAGAGAATCACTGATCAGCTGCCTCTTGTTCTATCTACTTCAAGGCAAATACAATTTTTAAACAATACGTATTTTTATTGATTTGAGAGAGAGAGAGAGAGAGAAACATTGATGATGAAAGAGAATCATGGATCGGCTGTCTCCTACACATCACCCCCACTGGGGGTCAGGCCCACAACCTGGGCATGTGCCCTGACTGGGGATCGAACCATGACCTCCTGGTTCATAGGTCGATGCTCAACCCCTGAGCCATGCAAGCTGGGCTATGATTTTGTTTTGTAACACCCACATTCAGTTTGGTATTAGGTAATATTGTCCTCATGAAATTCCCTTTAATCTATTCTAAAAACATTTTAGCTACCTTGCTTCAAATATTATTCCTCCTACATTTTCTCTACATTCCTTGTCTATAATTTCCTTTATATATACGTTGAATCATCTAATTCCATCTTCTGGGTCTCTTAATCCTTTCTATATTTCCATATCTTTATTTTTCTATGCTGAATTACTAGTATATATAAATTTCCCATTTCTATTTTCCAGTTCTCTAATTACCTTTTCAGCTTCATCTACTAGATGTTTAATCCATTTACCGTCCCTTATGGTGGATCATTTCTTTAGGTATCTTGTAATGCTTTAATCATGGCCTCATTTTCTTTTCTTTTAAATCTTATTATAAATATGTTTTTATTTCAGAGAGAGGAAGGGAGAGGGAGATATAGAAATATCAATGTCCCCCTTCCATACACAGACTCTCATATTTACCTGCCAGAACTAGAAGACCTGAGATCCTATGTCTGTCCTTGACCTCATCCCATGCCCCTTTGTTCTAGAGAAGCTGTTGTTTTCACTGGCACTGCCCACAGCTGAGGCGCACACAGCCATTGGCCACCATGATGTCCTCAGCAACCAATCTCCTCCACTGCCAGGATGTCAGGCCCCAACCCAGGCCCTGCCTCACGGTTCCTGCTTCCTCCAGGGGCTTACTGGTGTCAGCTCAGATTTTGTGTGCTTCTCTCTGTTTTTCCTTTTCCCATCTATCCCATCTTCTGTGGCTTCTTAGCTTTTGCTCACAAGAAACTGCTCACTTATAGACCTTGTGCTCAACCTTTCTGCCCAAATAGGTTTTATCATTGAACTTTTCTTGGTCCCATTGTTTGAGGCTCAGGCATCTGAGGCTGGTTAGGGCATCTTCCACCAACAGAGGGGTTTGTGCTGTGAGGCAGGGCACAGAATTAGGAGGATTCAGCTCTTACCAGGCTCAGCTCCTGGGAGATTGGTCTTTGAATAGAACAAGTTTATGGTCTGACTCATGTCCATGCCTAGAGCCAGGGAAATTAAGTGTAATGAGTTCCGTTTCAAGGGGATTTGTGTGTAGGGCATCTGAAACAGTTTGGGAACATGCAAACATTTAATATTTCACAGTAGTGTGTAAAATGATAGCATACTTGTGTGTTGCAAATTGAAGGATTTTGAAAGAAAAACTATGATCTACCCAGATAGTTTATATCTTTCAAGTTATAGATATATCCTGAAATGTTAACACTGTTTCATTCTTTGTGTTTTTCCCTTTCTTCCTAGAATATTTTCCTTCTTGGATATAGTAACTTTGTGCCGATGTGCACAGATTTCCAAGGTAGGGTGATTAACCATATTTTTCATCAGTAATTCTCAAGCTTTATTAGAATGAGGATGAATTTCAGTTCAAGTAAATAGTTAAAAATTAAAATGTCATCTTTTGTATTTAATTTAATGCACTGTTGTCATCCTGTATAATAAAGAGATAATATGCAAATTGACTGTCATGCCCTCACACAAGATGGCCACCACAAAATGGCCTGCAGGGGAGGGCAGTTAGGGGCAACCAGGCCAGCAGGGGAGGGCAGTTGGGGGCAATCAAGGCTGGCAGGGGAGCAGTTAGGCATCATTCAGGCTGGGAGTGGTTAGGGGGTGATCAGGCTGTCAGGCAAACGAGTGGTTGAGAGCCAGCAGTCCCGGATTGTGAGAGGGATGTCCCAGATTGGAGAGGGCGCAGGCTTGGCTGAGGGAACCCCCACCCCCACCGTGCACGAAGTTCATGCACCTGGCCTCTAGTAATTCCATATTTGATAAGCTTAATGTATATCAAGAATATAAGCTTGAAAACACACAGGATAAATCAAGACTTTCTTTAATGGTCTCAATAAATGTATCTTTCACCCCAATCCTCCTCCTTTACTCCCACCTCCCAGGCTTGGAATGTCTTAGCCCTGGATGGAAGCAACTGGCAAAAAATAGACCTTTTTAACTTTCAAACAGATGTAGAGGTAAGTTAACTGTGCTTTAGACAAAAGACTTAAAAAAATTTTTTTTTTATTGATTAAGCTAATACATATGTGTACTTATCCCCCCATTATCCTCCTACCCTCCCCCCAGGACAAAAGACTTTTTAAGAACTGCTCCTTCTTTCCTGCATTTTTATTATGTTGCATTTAGATTTAATATTAAGGTGGCAAAAGGTAGAATAGAGTGAGGAACCTAGAACATATTTCTATGCATTAAGACTAAAATTCTGCTTGTATTTTACTTTGCTCTGTATTGGTAACAGATTACTTTTTTCATATTTATGATCTGAGTTTTATCACTTAGCTTCTTAAAGCCTCAAACCTGCCTCGTTAGCGCCTGCTTCTGTGATTTAATATGAGGGGACTATTGACAAAACTTGTTGATTTGAAAGAGCCACTGAGAATTCTAATTCACGGTTAAGAATGGAGAAAGGGTCCAGCCAGTGTGGCTCAGTAGTTGGTCATCCACCTATGAACTAGGAGGTCACAGTTTGATTCCCAGTCAGGGCACATGCCTGGGTTGAAGCCTTGATCCCCAATAGGGCATATGTAGGAGGCAGCAGATCAGTGATTCTCAACATTGATATTTCTATCTCTTCCTCTCCTTTTCTTTCTGAAATCAGTAAAAATTAAAAAAAATTAAAATAAATAAATAAATAAATAAATAAAGACTGGAGAAAGGGCAGCAGCACGAGCCAGGAGCGATGCAAGGGTTAACTGAAGTGTCACTCCAGCTCGGCTGCTTGAGCCACGTAATTTCTCAGTGCCTTAGTTTTATTGCCTATAAAATACTCTTAAAAGCCTCTTATAATTCCAGGATTCTAGTATATTTATTTGGAGATACGTATACCTCTATTTAAGAGTAGTAATCCTGCCGAAGCCGGTTTGGCTCAGCGGTAGAGCGTCAGTCTGTGGACTGAGAGGTCCCAGGTTCGATTCCGGTCAAGGGCGTGTACCTTGGTTGCGGGCACATCCCCGGTAGGGGGTGTGCAGGAGGCAGCTGGTCGATGTTTCTCTTTCATCGGCGTTTCTAGCTCTCTATCTCTCTCCCTTCCTCCTCTCCGTGAAATATCAATAAAATATATATTAAAAAAAAAAAGAGCAGTAACCCTGACCAAATGAGAAATTTTATTTTATAATAGCTTTAATTTTAACATTCAGTTACTGAGCTTCCTAAATTTCAGGTTATTGTTCTGTTAGATAAGCAACATGAAAAACACAGTTTCTCCCCAACTCCCTTGGTTCCAGGGCCGCGTGGTGGAGAACATCTCCAAGCGCTGCGGTGGGTTCCTGCGGCAGCTCAGCTTGCGAGGCTGTATCGGTGTCGGCGACTCCTCGCTGAAGTGAGTGGGACCTCAGTGACTCACCGGCCGCAGCAGGTCGTAGCTGACGCTTCCATCGGCGAAAATACACCAGGCCTATTGCCTGCTTTTCTTCTGTTAAATTCTTTCCTGGTGATTTGCTTAGAGCAGGGGTGGGGAACCTTTTTCTGCCAAGGGCCATTTGGATATAACATCATTCGGGACCATCCAAAATTATCGGCTTAAAAATCAGCCTGCTATATTTGGTCACACATTTGGTCACACTGGGCCAGGCCCAGTGATTTTGCGGGTGTCATACAGCCTGCAGGCCCACCCCCTGGTGTAGTGTAGCGGGAGAAGCAGGACTTTGGAGCCAGCTGGGACAAGAACCCCAAGCTCTTCTGTGTGCACATTAAAGTTTGAGGAGCACTAGTCAACAATAACATATTGTACGCTTACATTTTTGTTTAGTGAATATATCTCATGTTAAGTGTTCTCTGTCCAATAATATAAAAATTTTAAGTTTGAGGAGCGCTGTTCTGTGAATGGTTATACACGCCCTCTAGTGGCTGCCCAGCAACTTGCAGGGAGTTTTGAAATGGGTTCTCTTTTTAGGACCTTTGCACAGAACTGCCGAAACATCGAACACTTAAACCTCAATGGGTGCACAAAAATCACTGACAGGTAAGTAGGGGTAATTAGCTTGGTTTTTGGCTAATTGGCTCTGGGGAGACAGAGAGGAGAGAAACATGGTTGAGAATATCTTTAGTGCCTCTGCTCTTTTTCAGCACGTGTTACAGTCTCAGCAGATTCTGTGCCAAGCTAAAACATCTGGATCTGACCTCCTGCGTGTCCATTACCAACAGCTCCTTAAAGGGGATCAGGTAAGAGGACTTGTTGTTTGTGGTCAAGAGAAGCCCCCTTAGCTATGAGCACCTTGGTGTATCTGACGCCTTTCTGATGGTCCCGGGGTCCTCTCTCCCCAGCATTGCTTGTGATTTACTAAACTCAGTGTTGGTAATGCGTTCTCTACAGGCTAGACTGCACATGCGTGGTTGTGTTTCTTGTTCCCTCAGTGAGGGCTGCCGGAACCTGGAGTACCTGAACCTCTCGTGGTGCGATCAGATCACGAAGGATGGCATTGAGGCCCTGGTGCGCGGCTGCCGAGGCCTGAAGTCCCTGCTCCTGCGGGGATGCACGCAGGTACCGGCTGGCGCAGCCGCCTTACTCCCGAGCGTCTACAGCGAGGGTGGGCACTTCCTGAGGGCCAGGCTGGTGCATTTTCCTTGGTGCCCCCCTGTTCTCTCACCTGGTCCCATCCCTCTTGTTTTCTCCGTTCCAGTTAGAAGATGAAGCTCTAAAACACATTCAGAATTACTGCCATGAGCTCGTGAGCCTCAACCTCCAGTCCTGCCCAGTAAGTAGCGTGCCTTTCCGCTGTGCACCCTCAGAAACTTCCGGGGTCCCCAACGCTCCCAGGCAGGCAGGATGGTCACACCTGACCTCTTATCCTGTGTCCTTCTCTGATCTGTCCACTTGCCACAAGACGAAACAACACTGTAAACAGAAAGGCCCGTACAAAACCTCTGACACTTCCCTTATAAATGATATCGGGGCCTTGGGTTATTGAAGATATTAGGAAGGCTGTCACTAGCCTCATCAATTCACGGTAAGGCCTCAGTGTCTTTTAAAAAATATATATTTTATTGATTTTTTACAGAGAGGAGGAGAGAGGGACAGAGTTAGAAACATCGATGAGAGAGAAACATCAATCAGCTGCCTCTTGCACACCCCCTACTGGGAATGTGCAACCAAGGTACATGCCCTTGACTGGAATGGAACCTGGGACCTCTCAGTCCGCAGGCCGACGCTCTATCACTGAGCCAAACCGGTTTCGGCCTCAGTGTCTTTTTTTTATTTATAAACTGGGATGATGACACTTCTCATCTTGTCTCAGTAAATAAAAAGGAACAACAGACAGGAGAATGCTTTAGGAATACGGGCATGTGCCAGGGCAGGTGTCCTTCCAGCAGCGCGCCGGCCGGGAGAAGCTGCGGCTCCTCTCCCTGCCCTCACAGATGCTGTAACTGAGGAGGATGCTTCCTAATCTCCTGGTTTCTCAGGCGAGAAGTCCCTTGCATTCGGGATTTAACGCATGAATCGTAAATCTCTAGAGTCCCTGGTTATGGGAGGTAAAGGAGAAACTATCTTCTGGACATACATTGACCAATGGGCCTGCAGCTGTTCAAAGTCAAACCTTGCACGTAGGCTAGCACTGGCCTTGACTTGAAATCTTATGTAATAAAACCCTAATATGCAAATCGACCAAACAGCTGAATGACACGCACTTCCCACCAGGGGGCAGACGCTCAGCGCGGGAGCTGCCCCCGGTGGTCAGTGCCTCCCACAGGAGGAGCGCCGCTCAGCCAGGAGCCGGCTCACGGCTGGCCAGCACAGTGGCAGCGGCGGGAGCCTCTCCCACCTCCCTGGCAGCGCTAAGGAGCAGCGAGCCGGTGGGCAGGACTGTGCGAGGGCACAGGCCAGGCTGAGGAACCGTCCCTCCCCTTCCCCCTGCATGATTTTCGTGCACCGGGCCTCTGGTATAACAGATGCATTTTTTCTTCACCTAAATTAGTATATTTCAATAAATATTTTGAATGTTGACTTATCAATAATTTAGTGATTTATTTAATTTTCCCATTATAAACACATAGCATTTATATGGTAGACAACTAAAGCATTAATCTATAGAAACTCAACCAAAAATTAATATCACTTAAGTAACCCAAGTCTCATGAGCTTTTTATTTAATATGATTTTTAATATGTTGATATGGTTGTTGTTGTTTTTTTTTGAAAATCCAATGAATCTGGGAAGGTAAGTGGAATTTTAAAATATTGCTCGCATTAGTAATGCTAGAATATGTTTAAAGCTGTGCAGAAATAACATAAATACCCGCCTGCCGAGTACATCACTTTATTTTGTTTAAATCACTAGGCTGCGGTGCTGGTAACTCGCAACCTAGACAGTAGGCCATCAGTAGATCCCCCGTTTCAGTTCCCTGTGCCTTCTGACCTGCTTCCTGTTTTGGTTCCCAGCGCATTACGGACGAAGGCGTTGTGCAGATCTGCAAGGGCTGCCCCCGGCTGCAGGCCCTCTGCCTGTCTGGCTGCGGCAACCTCACGGACGCCTCTCTATCAGCCCTGGCGCTGAACTGCCCGCGACTTCAGTGAGTGTGCATGCCTTCTGCCTGGCCGCTCAGGCTGGCGGGCCGACCAGGAGGGCTTCCGTCGGAGGGGAAAGGCTTGCCAGCTGGCAGAACAAGTGCTGGCGGAGGGGGCAGTGGTTATGCTGTTGTTGGATGGGTCAGTGTGGCACCCAGTTCATTTTGGAATGGAGGGGTCGTGCTAAACTGTCCACCACCAGGGAATAGGAACCTTACTGTCTTGATGGACCACCTGATTTGCCTCAGCCCGTTGTTATCAGAGCCATCTGATCGTGAGCAGGATGACAGCCTCTCCCCCAAGTGTCACCAGTTTCTCCTCTAATCCAGCTGCTGAATGGACATAAGGGGGGAGGGGCAAGGGAATCCCAATCGCCCTATTTATCATCCCCCAGCCAGAAGGAAAGTTTTGTTTTGTTTTAACAAGAAAAGATTTATTTTTTGATTGGCCACATAATACAGTGAATATGACGTCTTTAATAATGACAACAAAATACCAGTCATAGTTAACACCTGTTGAACTCTACGTTAGGCATTATCTCTTTAATGTTCTGCCTTAGGCATTCTCTCATTTAATCCTTACCACATCCCTAGGAGGTAGGTACTATTGTCACGTGTTGCAGAGGAGAAACTGACTCAGAACCACATAATTTGTCCTGGATCATATGATGAGTAAGAAAGTAAAACTAGAATTTGAACTTGTGGAGTTTGATTTCAAAACGAGCAATCTTAGCCCCTTCCTATCCAATAGACCAGTGGTCGGCAAACTGGCTCTTTGGCCCCTTGAGTTTTTAGCAAAGGCCAGCTTAGCAGCACACTAATTAAGTTAATAACAATGTACCTATCTATATAGTTTAAGTTTAAAAAACGTGGCTCTCAAAAGAAATTTCAATCCTCGTACTGTTGATATTTGGCTCTGTTGACTTATGAGTTTGCCGACTACTATAATAGGCAGAAAAAAGTTGCTTGTTTATTATTTTAAATATATTTTTTATTGATTTCAGAGAGGAAAGGAAAGAGAGAGAGAGAAACAATGATGAGAGAGAATCATTGATCAGCTGCCTCCTATCTGCCCCACACTGGGGATTGAGCTCCGAACCTGGGCATATGCCCGAACCAGGAATCAAACAATGGCCTCCTGGGTCATAGGTTGATGCTCAGCCATGGAGCCACACTGACTGGGCTTGTTTTACTATTTTTTATTTGCTAGTGAAACTGATTTCTCATGCTTGTATCAGTTACATCTCATATAAAGGTTTTCTATTTTTGTCTTTTGCCTATTTACTGTTGATTAGGAAAGATTCTAGATACTTTTGATATTTCTGCATAAAAGGAATCTATAGGATTAAAACTTGTCAGTTTAAAATTATTGCTATAAAGCATTTAACTTAAAAAATGTTATCTATGCATTCCTCCTGTTAAGTATGCGTATTGAGAACTGACTCTGTCCCTCACTGGCTATAAATTTTTAAGTTTTCCTATATGGTAACTGAGAATTTCAGTAAATGCAGTATTTATCATGATTTTTTAAAAATATATTTTATTGATTTTTTTTTTACAGAGAGGAAGAGAGAGGGATAGTTAGAAACATCGATGAGAGAGAGTCATCGATCAGCCTCCTGCACACCCCCCATCGGGGATGTGCCTGCAACCAAGATACATGCCCTTGACCGGAATCGAACACGGGAACTTTCAGTCCGCAGGCCAATACTCTATCCACTGAGCCAAACCGGTTTTGGCTTTATCATGATTTTTTTTGAGTAAAAGTTCATTTTAATTATGTTTAAAGACAACAATATGGGGGAAATGTTTAAAAACAACAGCCGCAGCAATGTCCTATACTGGGGAAGATTCCTGGATTTATCATGCGCATTTCAGATGGGACTTTGGGATTCAGGGCAGGTCCCATTCCTCCCTAAGCTTTGTTCTCCCTTCCAGTGGGGACAGTGTCTGCGTTTACAGCCTTAGGCTGTTTCCAGAAGCAAGAGTGTCTAGGAGCCTCAGAGGATGAGTTTCTGTTGCTGACCAGTCGCTGTTTTTTCTCCTTTCCCCAGGATTTTGGAGGCTGCCCGGTGTTCCCATTTGACCGATGCAGGCTTTACACTCTTAGCTCGGGTAAGCGGAGGCTGTAAAAACCAAACCTCACTCTGATTCACCCCCTCATTCAGAGTGACTGGGAGTGGCTTTGGAGGGTGGGAAAAGGAACAGGCACCAAGTAGCAGAGTCCTCAGGGTGTGTTGTGCCTTTTTCCCAGTTGGTCAGAAAGCTAAGGCGGTCCTAGGGGGATTTGTAGCGGGCCAGGTGGGACCACAATAGAGAAGCCTCCTCCCGGGAGGAAATGGCCTTCCTTACACAGACCCTAACCACCCAAGCCTCTCCGCGCTTCCCCACTGGGCTGAGCTCTGCCTCTGCAACTGCAGACCCTGTGGGCCCCTGGCCCTGCCAGTAACCCTTCCCTGGGGCTGCTGGCACAGTCCTCCTGCACCACCCTCACTGCCCAAACTGGCTCAGCGCCCCACCCGAGGCCCTCAAAGGCCCTGTTCTGCGCTGGCACTTGTGAGGACTGGGCAGCTACCTTCCCAGGATGCGAGGAGATGCAGCCGGGGCAGCCCTACTCCCATTCCCAAATGGATGGGATTCAAAGGGCGCCTGCTTATGGGGCACTTTGGGAATCGGGCAAGCCCCTAGGACTGCCCTCACACCAACTGCGTGGTGAGGGATGTCTGTGGACTCTTTCAGAATTGCCATGACCTTGAGAAGATGGATCTGGAAGAATGTGTCCTGGTGAGTGGACCCCCTATGCCCTGCCGGGCTGCCCCTCAGCCCCTGACCGACAGCCAGGAGTAGCCAGGCACGCTGCTGGGCTGTTCACGCCCTCCTTGCATAGGGTCAGGGCTGGGGAACTCATGAAGGCCCTGGCAGTGGAATGTGTAAACTTTGGACTGCCCTCAGTCATCAGCCAGCCACAGCCCAGAGGTTCAAAGTTGCTCCATTTAAAAAAATAAAATAAAATCTTATTTTCACAGAACCAGAGAGAAAAATAAGCTTGCATGTCTAGGATGAAGTGACGACATACAATCCTGGGGGACCCTCCTTGTCCACTCCCCCTTTGTCCAAACCCTACCCATGGCCCCCTTAGGTTCCAAGGGACTGAAGAAAGTTTTGTCTCCAGCAGTGTGCAAACGAGGTTGCTGGTGAATGAGGGGCCCCTGCCTGAGTGCCTGAGATGAGTCTTTTATTTTTTTGCTCCTTGATGCTCATGTTCAGAAGCCAGAGTCAGGTGTTACGTTCTGGTGTAGCAGCCACACTAACCCAGCGTGTCTCTCTCCAGATAACCGACAGCACGCTCATCCAGCTCTCCATCCACTGTCCTAACCTGCAAGCCCTGGTGAGTCCGATGAACAGTGTGACACTGTCCACCTCACCCAGTGGGGATCGGGGTTTCCTTCCCAAAATATTCCATCATTCTTGGTTCCAGAGGTCTATAGGTTGGGCTAATGAGGGAGACAAGGTATCTAAATGTTACTGTTTCCCTTTAGAATAGGAACCTAATTTAGGGGCTCATGCCCTTATCACTTATGTTCCTGTTCAGTCAGGTAGAGTGAGAATTAGTATGTTAACGTGATATAACCTCAGGGGAAAGATGAAGGCCATCCTTGAGTTATATTTGCACTTCATATCTGCACATAGATAATCCCTTCTCCATATATGCACGTATACAGAAAAGGAGCTAGAATATATTAAAGCGGTCTAAGTGAGCAGTGGCAGGGAGGAGTGCACCCCATGCACCTCACACCCAGCTGTTTGACCAGAGTGGGGAGTGGGATGGAACCCTGCTCCTGGAGCAAGGCCCTGGACACTCTGCGACCTACACTCACTTAATCCCACTCACAGCCCGGAGAGACTCGGGCACTGTGGGCACGATTTTATCTGAGAGGAAAGGAAGCTCATAGTAGTTAAGGAACCTGCCCAGAGTTACACACCTGCTAGGGTCTTCCCAGACCTGAGATACACAACAGATTTCCTTATGCCAGCGTTGTCGTCTCTGAAGCTGGCTCTTCTCTCAAAGGCTAGAATTTTACCACCACCAAAGCTCCATTTAGCCTCAAGTTACTCTCCCCACCAGTTTCCTTATTTTCACATTCACTCTGGGACTTTTGAGTTTGGGGTAGGAAAAAAAACGAAAACAGAAAACACTAAAAAAAAAAAAAAAAAAAAAAAAGGAATTTGGGGTCAAATTTCAGACATTAGTCATGAATCTACTTGTACCATTCTCTAAGCTGTCTCACCTACATATTACAGATGGTTTTGTAGTCTGATGTCTCTTCTCCCCAGTTGGTTCAGATTTCATATAAATGAGATCATAAGGTATTTATCTCTGACATTTCACTTAGCACAATGCTCTCAGGGTCCATCCATATTGTCACAAATGGCAAGATTTTTTTTTTAATGGCTGAATATGCCACTGTATGTGCATCTATCTCACATTTTCTTCACGTATCTGATAGTCACATTGTTTCCACTACTTGCCTGTTGCCATCAATGCATATATATCTTTTTGAATTGTTTTCACTTCTTTGAAAACAACAAAAGTGAAATTGCTGGATCATCTCTAATATTGTATTTAAAAAAATTTTAACAAACTTTCTAGTTTTCACTAGTAATTACACCAATTTACATTCCCACCAATGTAAAAGGGTTCCCTTTTTCCATTCTCATCAACACTGATTTCTTGTTTTTACAAATCATTCTATCAGGTGTGTGTTTTTATGCCAATACTGGACTGTTTTGGTTACTCTAACTTTGTAATGTAGTTTGATTTGGAGCATGCCTCCAGCTTTGTGCTTCTTAAGATTGCTTTGACTTATTAGGGTCTTTTGTGGTTCTATGCATTTTAGGATTGATGTTCTGTTTGTGAAAAATGTCATAGGATTGCATTGAATCTGTAGATTGCTTTGGGTAGTATGAACATTTCAATATTCATTTTCTAGCATGGAATTTGTGTCCTCAATTTCTTTCATCCATGCCTAATAGCTTTCAGTATATAGGCCTTTTACATTCTGGTTAAATTTATTTATGTGTTTTTGTTTGTTTTTCCGGAGAAGAAGGGAGAGGGATAGAGAGTTAGAAACATTGAGAAACACCAATCAGCTGCCTCCTGCACACCCTCTACTAGGGATGTGCCCACAACCAAAGTACTTACCCTTGACTAGAATCGAACCTGGGACCTTTCAGTTCGCAGGCCAACGCTCTATCCATTGAGCCAAACCGGTTAGAGCTAAGTGGGGTTTTCTTAATTTCTTTCTGATTATTAGTGTGTAGAAACATCACATATTTTTGTATATTGTTTTTGTGTCCTGCAACTTTACTGAATGGTCTGTTGGTTGTATTGTGTATCCCACCAGGCTGTAGCTGATCGGCCTTTCACTAAAAGACAGCTCCTGTTGGTTCTGTTGTGCCCTCGAGGGGGCAGCTGTTTAAGAACTCTTTCTCTGTTGGTTACAGTCCAAAGTCAAGAGATGTAGGTGTGCCCTGGCGGCAGCCACAGTAACGGGACCACAGACATGTAGACAATGGTGCCCACCAGGAAAGGAAAAAAAGCTCCGTTTTAAATGGCATCTTCCAGGTAGAGAAAGGCAGGAATGCAAAGATGGCACCCACTAGTCTCCACCTCCAAAGCTCGCCTGCCCTAGCGTGCCCCCAAATGCATGTTAATCAGATGCCTACCCCTCAGGCTGGTGCTCCTCCCCCTTTGCCCAAGGTCCCTCTACTGGCCGTTCCCACGCTGGGCCCTGGTGCAGGGGATCATTTATGATCTGCTGCAGTCTTGTGGCTTTGAGCCTGTTTGTTTTCAAAGCTAGTTCTTTTGGGGGCCTGTCACTCAGGGGCAGGGGCAATGTGGGCTTTTAACCCTCCCCTCCCCAGGGAGAAGCTCCAGGTTTTGGTGCACCCTCTGACTCTTGCACTGCGAGTGGCTTTTATGGCGAGATTGTGTCCCAGCCCCTCCTACTTGTCACGGGCCTCCCTCATGGTCCAATGTGTAGGGGGCACTAAGCCAGTTTTAGGTTTTTCAGAGGAAGTTGTTCAGGTGTAGCTGTAGATTGTACATTGAGGTGAGTTTAGGATTGAACCAGACCATCCCCGGCAATTCTGACTTGCTTTTTTATTCAGGAAAATGAGAGAAACCACTCCCCAGCTGCAGTAGTCTCAGGGCCAAAAGGCCCAGGCGTTTGCTCCCTGCTTTTCCCAGGCCATAGCATTGGAATGAGGTTGTTGCAAAAATGTTGTCCTCTCCCTGCTGCAGAGCCTGTCCCATTGTGAGCTCATCACAGATGATGGAATCCTGCACCTGAGCAATAGCTCCTGTGGCCAGGAGAGGCTGCAAGTTCTGGAATTGGACAACTGCCTCCTCATCACCGACGTGGCCCTGGAGCACCTGGAGCACTGCCAGGGCCTAGAGCGCCTGGAGCTGTACGACTGCCAGCAGGTGACCCGCGCAGGCATCAAGCGGATGCGGGTAGGTGTGGACGGGAGCCGTACACCTGGCACGGGTTTTTTGTTTTTTAAAAAAAATATATTTTATTAATTTTTTACAGAGAGGAAGGGAGAGAGATAGAGAGCTAGAAACATCGATGAGAGAGAAACATCGACCAGCTGCCTCTTGCACACCCCCTACTGGGGATGTGCCTGCAACCAATGTACATACATGCCCTTGACCAGAAACGAACCCGGGACCTTTCAGTCCGCAGACCGATGCTCTATCCACTGGGCCAAACCAGTTTTGGCACCTGGCAGTTTCTAAGCAAGCAACAAATACACCAAGAATCCACATGCATGTTCTAACACTCCCAAGTCTTAAATGTCTCCTGAAACTTCTTAGAAATTCCTTAACCAGCCTGGGTTCCATGTAGTCTGGTGATCAGCACTTACAAGAAAGAGGTCTGGCCGAAACCGGTTTGGCTCAATGGATAGAGGTCGGCTTGGGGACTGAAAGGTACATGCCCTTGATCGATTCCGATCAAGGGCATGTACCTTGGTTGCGGGCATATTCCCAGTAAGGGGTGTGCAAGAGGCAGCTGATCGATGACTCACTCTCATCGATGTTTCTAACTCTCTATCTCCCTTCCTCTCGGTACAAAATTAAGAAAATATATTTTAAAAAAGGGGAGGGGGTCTGAGGTCATTACCAGTAGGAGGTAGATGTGGTCTTGGCTAATTTCCAGGTGAGAGCACTTAATAGAATGTGGCTTGCTTTTTCTACAATAGTAATCTACATTGTTTTCTTGAACATGCTACAGTTTTTAACTTTGCATTTATAGACCAAAGCTGCCCCAGGATGCTACAGCTGGCGGGAACTCTACTGGGGGCCAGTGACTACCCAGGGGCAGAAATATTCTTGGTTTTCCTTTGTCTTTGAAGGTGCTTAGGGGATGGATTATGTAAACAGGAGTAGCTTTAGCCTATCCCGAAATTATTTTTTATTTTATTTTTTTTTACAGAGAGTAAGAGAGAAACATCAACCAGCTGCCTCCTGCACATCCCCTACCAGGGGTGTGCCTGCAACCAATGTACATGCCCCTGACTGGAATCGAACCTGGGACCCTTCAGTCCGCAGACCAACACACTATCCACTAAGCCAAACCAGTTTCGGCCCGAAATTATTTTTGCACTATTTGCCTGATAGTAAAGGAAAGCCAATTCCCCATGGAGAACTACGGGCTTTTCTAGGACTGCTTATAATTCCAAAAATAGCAGTGTCAAGATTACTCCACCTTTTCCTTCTGTTTCCAGGCTCAGCTCCCTCACGTCAAAGTCCATGCCTACTTTGCACCCGTCACCCCACCGACAGCAGTGGGAGGAAGTGGCCATCGGCTGTGCAGGTGTTGTGTCATTCTCTGACAGAGCTGCGGGGCCCAACTCCAGAGAAGACCCGAGTCTCCCCTCCCTTCTCCATGGTCACCGAAATCTGTTGCTTCTCCATTGGGAAAGGTATTTACAGGTAAAAGACTTCTGTAGGGATTGCAGTAACTTTGGCGATAAGTTTTGACTTTAGTTTGCTGCGATACAATCAAATCAAAGCCTTGTCAGTAAACACACAGCAAGAGTGGATTCAGTGCAGCCAGGACCGTGCAAGAAACCTGGTTTCTTAACAAGGTGGGTTTACCTTCCTAGGGGCAAGCGTTCTGTTCTCAGCTTTGTCAGCATTCCTCAGACCATCAGTGTTAGCACAAAAACGAAGCTGTTGATTTCTGATAATTAAGATAGTGGCCTACTTTTAATTCACAACAATTCCATTTTGTCTAGCAGGGCTTTCCCACTTTGATGTACTTTTATCAAAGTGACTGTACTGCAAATTCGTAATACCTAATAGTTTTGTATGTGGAAGGCATGTTAAGAAGTTTCTATGAGACACCAAAGAAATGAGGACTCTACACGGGGTGAAGCTGAGTCTTCACCTATTTGTCAACTTGGGGACCAAAACTAAACTCAGAGTTCATGTTGCCTGTTTGGAAATTAGAAGCTCTGGTGTAAGCTACAGCACAGTTTTATTATAGGAGAAAAGCAATAGAAGTGAATAAGGCTTCAGTTATAATAAAAAATAATGAATGGATGCATGTAGAATGAGTGTAATTTTTTCCAAGTTTATTTTAAAATCTTAGAAATCAAGTTACACCAGAACTAGTCAAAAGTTTTATACATTTAAAACTCAGATCAGTCAAGTGTTGGCACCTTTTAGATTCAAAATATAAAAATGAATAAACCAGAGGGTTTTATTGCTATAGATAGTCTATGGCAGGGAAATCGGAGCAAAAACACTTTCCAAATTCAAGACCTTCCTAATGTTACCTAAGCATCTGATAAGATGATCTAGTTTCTGCCTGTGCTGTCCACATTTGTGATCTTTCTTAATTAAAACTAGGAACCCATCACCACCCTTCTAGCAACCACTCCTAGCCTGGAGCCCAGAGCTTGTGAGAAGAAGTGAAACAGCAAACAAGGTGTTCTTTTCCTAGGACTAGCAGTACTTCTAGATGGGCAGTTTTAGAGGTATTCAGGACACAATACCTCAGCTGCTTCTAGGAAGAGAGGGCTTACCTAGAACCTCATAAGTCAATTTAATGGGATTATCAGAATAAGCATTCAAGTCTTGATGATTTTATTGCTTTATGATATACTCTGGTGTTCACAGGTCTAAAAATTGTGTGTATGCCACAGTAGTTATTTAAATATACATTTTCAACACCGTGTGGGGGAGAAATGACTGATGCTATTTAAATAAAACAAAACATATACCACAGACCTGCTTCAGTGATTATGAATTAGTTTCTATTTTATGGAAATGGGCCTTCTATACATTATCTCCCTTGAGCCAGGACACAATCTATCACAACTACTTTGCTCAATGACCCATTTATAAAACAGAAGAACCTCTAATAAAAAAAGTTACTGGAATAACATTACCTCTCCGTTGCAGCAGCTTTGAGAAAACCACCTGGGTCTCAACTTTTACAACATTTGGACTGGTGTGTCCTCAGAACACACATGTGGAGCCTCTGTCCTGTGGCAGGAGCTGGGATTTTAAAATGACACACACACTTGCAAAACAATCGGAAAACATTTATTATACTGAAATGTATACATCCTACTATTAAAAAAACAAAGTAGCAAATATTCTGCTGGTGCCATAATTTATTTCACTGGGACAGACTAATGCTCAACACCACTTGATGTGTGATTTCAAGTTTGATGAGCTTTTTTTTACCCCACTTCTAAAACCCTATGAGGAACTCAGAATAGCACACAGCATTGAATGACATTTATTGTTCCATAAGTCTTGAGACTCAAAAAGGAATGCTAAATCAACAAGCAAAACTAAAACAATAGAAACTCTCTTCTTTCCCAAGTGATTGGTACAGAAAACATGTGCTCATACAAAAGCAAAGGGAACATGACAGAAAGGAAGGCTCTCCTGCTTTATGGCCTATAAGAGATAGCTATTTTAAAACCAAAGATGGAAACAGACACAGTGCTTCTTTGTATTAGACACCCTACCCCCCACCCCAATGAATAGAACAGTCAAGCTTTAAATCACTGAAGTAGTTCATCTTATAGGAAAGATATTAAATTCAAAATGACTCATTCCTATTTCTGCCCAAAGGATCAAATAATACATTCAAAACCAAGACACCTGGGTAAATGGACAGATATGCTATAATTAAAATGGAATTGGAGTTTAAAAACAAGTTGGGTGTGCTACACCACAGGCCTTACCAGTTCTTGCTGAGGAATTTTGGGAAAGGCTTTAGACAAAGGGAAGAGAGAAAGAGTAGGAAAAATTGCAAAAACAGTGGGTTCTCTTTGATAAATACACTGGCTGACAAGTTGGTTTTGTGAAAAGAGACTTTTATAGAAAAAGAAACAATATGTGGTGTATAAAAAGCCTCTAAATAATCACCAGAACATTTACTCATGATTGTAGCAAAGCTCAATATTTGAGAAGTGTAAGGAGTTACATGATACAATTTAGTGTGACTTATGATGTCTAGTGTTCCAAGAATAATTTCAACTTGATAAAGACTCCTTGACACCATGTCAGAACTATACTTTTTCTCCTGCTTACCTATTTCCAATGTCTGGGGTCAGGCTTTAAAAATGTTTAAGAGGGAGGATGGTGTGGGGGTGAGTTGGGAAGGGCAGTCGAAGACAGAGGGAGGGAGGAAAAAGAAAAAACCACATAATTTAAAAAAGGCAATGGGGCTTTAAAAATGAAAACCAGAAATAAAATGCTAAAAATGGAAGCAGAAGCAAAAGTTTTTCATTAAATCTGTGACAAAGCAAAAACACAAAGTCTTTGTACCTATTAGGATTTACACTGATCCTCTCACCAAGGTACTCTTGATAATGCAGCTCGCTTCCAGCCAGTCTTCCTGCGTGGCTCTTCCCAACCTGGCATGATCACGTGAGACGCACACCCTTAGACACGCTTCTTCCGAGAAGTGCCAAGCCTCTTACCTGACCACCAGTCACTGTATCAGCACATCGCATCTCCGCAGACAGGCTCCCTGCTGGCTCCACAACAGCACTGTCCCCAGGTCAGCAGGAGGTTCAGGCCAAACTGGCACAGAAAGGTAAATGCCCACAGTAGGTTTTTACATTCATTTCCAAACCGCATACAGTGTAAAAAGACAGCCAAGGCTGCTTTGAGGAACTCTTATCTACTGGCCTCTGCCAGAGGCAGGCAGCGCAGCCTGCACCGTGGCCCCAGAGCAGGCGTGCTGTCCCGGCGTGCTCACTCTCACGAGGATGCTTGGCTATGGCAGTGACAGTGAGGAGATTCGCCTCTCGTACAGCTCATTAGAAAGGTCATCTTGTGTTTTCAATATGAAACATTCATATAGTAAAATCCAATCCCAAGACTTCTTGGATTCAGTCTTCACACACTTTTAAGCGTGACTTTATTTGGTAACGAATATAGTTCAGACTATTTAAGAAATCACTTCAAAATTATGTGGATACCTCCACTATTTTCAACTGCGGAAAAAGGAAAAAGAAATTACAAAATTACAGTTTTTTTTTTTTTGTTTTTTTTTAAAGCCAGATTTAGGAAAATCAGGACTATTCAATCGAAACTCCCTGAAAGTGACAACCTGCTCCTGACTCATCTGTTATCTTTAAATAATTCTACAAAAAAACAACAAAAAACCCCCCACTGGTTAACCTGCTCTGGCTCCTCTTCCCTAAGTTAGCTTCGTGCACACATTTGCTTTCTGGTGTCTGGCCAATACTCCCAACAGCACCCTGCACCGACACTACCTGCCAGTAAGGGGCTGGAGGAGGGGGTATTAAGACACACAGCAAAGCGCTGTCCGCAAGGGGGCAAAAGCGGGAGGCAGGACAGTCGGCGCTCTACAAAACAATAAATAAACGGAGGGCTGATACCCACCCTTTCTAGAAATGGTTTTTGAACCCCACAGAGATAGACCCGAAGCATTGAAAAACACATCGCTACTTCTGCCTAATGCCCCCGTGTTCTCAGGAAATGCGGAGAGGAGACGCAGTACAGGCATCCATCAAGAACAAATGAATTTTGTCATGAGCACAAATTCTGAAGGCACAGTGCCCTGAGGCTGGAGTGGATATCCTATGATGCCTGACATTGGGAATGTCCCCCACTTGCTCAGAACACAACCACACAAGTAATTCAGTGTGCATTTCCTTCTTTAGATAATGTGAGTTTTGTAGAGTTAAAAACTATTGCTCTGAGAACAAAAAATTGAGAAGGGTATCAAGTTGAAGATGTTTGTGAAAGTAAAGGATAAAGTGGATCAGTTTACAGTTAAACTCAGCAATGCAAGTAACTTGATGCCACATGCCAGGCAAAAAGTAAATGGTAATTTTAGCACTGTTTTGGGAGAATCCCTTCAAGAGCATTCTTTGAAATGCAGCTTCTGTGCTAAGACTAGATTCAGATTTGCACCTGTCAGACTTTTAAAAACAATTTTGCATTTAAAAATACCTTCTTACAGCCGGGATCGGTTTGGCTCTGTGGATAGAGCGTCAGCCTGGGGACTGAAAGGTCCCGGGTTCGATTCCGGTCAAGGGCATGTACCTTGGTTGCGGGCACATCCCCAGTAGGGGGTGCGCAAGAGGCAGCTGATCAATGATTCTCTCTCATCGATGTTTCTAACTCTCTATCCCTCTCTCTTCCTCTCTGTGAAAAATCAATAAAATATATATTTTTAAAAATACCTTCTTACAGAATACTGTAAACACAATCTTTAAAATGGCAATAAGTATATATCAATAATTAAATATAGCCGGGACCGATTTGGCTCAATGGATAGAGCGTCGGCTTGGGGACTGAAGGGTCCCGGGTTCAATTCCAGTCAAGGGCATGTACCTTGGTTGCGGGCATATCCCCAGTAGGTGGTGTGCAAGAGGCAGCTGATCGATGACTCTCTCTCATGGATGTTTCTAACTATCTCTCTCCCTTCCTCTCTGTATAAAATCAATAAAATATATATTAAAAAAATTAAATATAAATAGACACATGCACCAATGAAAAGACACAGGATGGCTAAATGGATTAAAAATCATAACCCATCTATATGCTACTTCACTTACAATTGAAAGACAGGCTGAAAGTGAAGGGATGGAAAAATATTCCACACAAACAGAAATTAAAAGCTGGACTAAGCAATACTTGTACCTGACAAAATAGTCTTTAAAATAAAAAATGGAGGCCCTGCCTGGTAGCTCAGTTGGTTAGAGCACGGTCCCAATAGGCCAAGGTTGTGAGTTTGAGTCCCTGGTCAAGGCACATACAAGAAGCAACCAATCAATGTATAAATATATGGAACAACGTAATTTTACATGAGTCAACTCAAGAAGAGGATAAAACAATAGTAAACACCTAATACCCAATACAGGAAGGCATACCTAAATATATAAGGCAATTATTAATGGAAATAAAGGGAGACACCCATGGTAATACAATAATAGCAGGGGATTTTAATATCCCATTCACATCAATGGATAGATCATCCAGTCAAAAAGCTAAAAAAATAATGGTCTTGGATGTCACATTAGATAAGATCGGCTTAATAGACATTAATAGAATACAGATTTTTTTTGGAACATTGAACATTGAACATTGTTCATTCTCCAATTTAGATCATGTGCACATTGAACATTCTCCAATTTAGATCATGTCAGGCCACCAAACAAGCCTCAAATTCAGGAAGACTGAAGTCATACCAAATATCTGTTCTAACCACAATGGCATATAACCAGAAATCAGCTAGGGGAAAAAACTGAGAACCCTCCACAAATGTGGAGGCTAAACAAATAACATTCTAATAATCAATGGGTCAAAGAGAAAATCAATCAAGAGATAAAAAACTATTTTGACCCCTTCTCCCAAATGAAAATGCAACTTTTTAAAAAACTTATGGGATGCAGCAAAAGCAGTACTAAGAGAGAAGTTCCTAGTTATACAGTTCTACCTCAAGAAAAATTCCATATAATTTAACTTTTCACTTTTAAAGGAACTAACTAGAAGAACCAACAAAATCCAAAGTAAACCCTTTCTCTTTTCCTAACCCTTTCCATGGGACTCACTTGTGCCAGGTCTTGACCCTCTTTCAGTTTCACTCTTTAAAGGTCATCGATGATTTCTGCTGCTCTGAGTCACCACTGACATCTCAAGCCCAGGCCTGAGACAAAGGTAATTAAATGCCAACTTGACATTGCGACAGATCTACAATGGAACTCTGGACTGTTTTCCCCTCCAAACCTGCCTCTGCTGGGACCACTGTCTGCCCACTCTCCCAAGAGTAACGACCATCAACTGGAGTCCAGCAGAACCCTGTCCATAAATGTGCAAGATCCCACCACCTCTCACCTACATGACATCTCCTGCCTCATCTTTCCACCTTCCCACCTGTCTTCAGAGTTGCAAGAGTGAAAGAAAAATCTCAATCACCCTTTGTTTAAACAACTTCACTGACTTCAGAGGTACATCCAAATAAAATCTAAACTGCCACCAGGTCTTACATACCAGACTCTGCTTCTCGCTTTGTCTCCATCTTGTTCTGCCCATCCCTCACACACTGTATAGTAGCAAAATGGTTGCTTAAGCCTCCTAAGAAGCCAAGATCTTTCCTTCGCACACCGCTTTGCGATACTCCTCATATGGCCAATCCCTTCTCACTCTTCAATTATCAGCATTAATGATAGCACCTCAGAGAGGCCTTGCCCACCAGCTTCATGTCCCCCTACCCAGATTCCCCTCATCCATAAACACCCTACACTTTCCCATTCCTCCATGGCACTGAAAATATTTGTGATTATGTGCATCTGTTGGTTGGCTGATTCTGATTTGCTTTTCCCACTATAGAAAGTTCAAAATTTGTCTAGCATCACAAGCATGGTGGCTGACAAAAGTGCTCAGTAAAAGGTTGGCTGAACAAACTGAGACATCCCCTCCCCCCCCCAAATCAGGTTTGACTTCTCTTCCTTGTTGACTAGTTAATATTTATTACAACCCTTAGAAACATTCTCTGAATTCACTTTTCAAACTCTTAAAATTAGTAAAGCCAGCATTTCAAAAATAAACACACAAGATGAGAGATTACAAGCACACACTATTTTTTATGCCGCCAGCATTTCAAGACATGCACACATTCAAAATACCTTTTACTGTGGAGAATAAAAAACAACTCTCATCTTGAAAGTTCTGAACCATCTAGAAGGAGAAAGCAGATGTGGTTAAGATCCAACTGTCCCTTTGTAACTGATTAAAATTTGCAGTTAAAGGAAAATAGTATAATCTGTATACTATACATTGCTGCACAAGCACAGGATTCGACAGCCAGAAGGGTAGCTAGCGGGCAAATGCAGGTGAGTGGTAACGCTTTATACCTGCTGCCCTGGCAGCAGTGCCTGCTCATGATGGTCCCTGAGGACCTAGTCAGTCGGCCATCTGACCCCCCTGGGGAGCATCCCTACTGGGTCCTGGGAATAGCTGACAAAGAGTCACTGCATAAGTGCTCTTCTATTATCACTTGTCACTGAACACTGGTGGAAAAAACTATACTTCTAATCTACTGCTTTGTATATTAGTCATCAAATAGTGGGCAAAAGGCAACCCATCCAAGTGCCCCTCTCCATAAAAGGGGTGAAAGCCCACTAACCTGCAGGCCCCCTAAGGGGGTGTCTGGACTACAAGGGGAGGGAGGAGAGCCGGTTATCCTTAGGATCACCAGCATACCCGAAACTCTTATATATTCTTACAAATTTTGATCCCAACTCTTTGAAAAGGATTTTCATGAGTACTTGTAACAGAGGTCACAGAATTTTTCTATAGTTCTTCAGCGATATAACAGTGTGAATGGGAAAAGCAAACGGGCATACCAGTTCAAGTTACCTGATCACTAACAAGAATGTGAATACCAGTGGGACCCTGTCTGTAAACCTGGTTAATCTGGTGGAACGGAATATTAAACACCAACGCAAGTTTTCGAGCAACTTCTGAGGCAACCATTTCTTCCAAGTAGATTGCATGATAAACTGAAATAAATAACACACATAACAGCATTTTAGCAGTAATCTTTTATCTGTTTTCCACCTTGATATATAGTAAGATTACATATGAACATTAAAATAAATTTTGTACAAAAGGATCTGCAGTTTTAATTTTTCTTAAAAACAAATAGGAGTTGACTGCAAATGGGCCCGGGGACCTTTCTGGAGTAATGAAACGGAACGGGATTGTGGTGATGGCTGCAAAACTGCACATTTACTGGAACGTCACTGAATCATACCATTACAATGGGAGGCTTGTGGAATATCAATTATACCTGAAGGAAACTCTTCAAAAAAATAAATAAATAAAGTGTTTCTAGCAATACAGTTTAAAAACAAAAACCTAAGAAGGTCATAGTTTTTGTTTCAGGAGGCCTATGAATGGGAGTTTATCCATTTATCCTAAGGAATAAAAGCCGCCTCCCTACACCCTATAAAACCCAGTATAAAAGACAGTACTCGAAAAGCTAAGGATGTGGACCATGAAGCCTTCTGCTACTCTACAGAAGATCCCAGGTGAGTCCACCTAGTATCCTGTTTCTTTCTGGAACATGTAATCTAGCAGCGGCTCTGTTGGCACAGCACCAAGCACATCTGCAGTGGGTCTGACTCATAGGTCAAGCTCAGTTACTAGTGATTCAAGCCAGACATTGATCAGGACTATCAGTGCCAGAGCTTTGCTTTTCAAACAAGGGGAACCTCTGCCAATCATACATCATGAAAAGCTTAGAATTTGGAACTATAATCAGAGGAGGACTATAGAGATGATGTTGAGTAGGGTCAACAAACTACAGCCTATGCTGGTCAAACCTGCCCTCCACTTGTTCTTTCAAAAATGAAATGTTGCTGAAACCGGTTTTGCTCAGTGGATGGAGCGTCGGTCTGCAGACTGAAGGGTCCCAGGTTCAGTTCCGACCAAGGGCATGTACATTGGTTGCGGGCACATCCCTGGTATGGGGTGTGCAGGAGGCAGCTGGTCGATGTCTCTCTCTCATTGATGTTTCTAGCTCTCTATCTCTCTCCTCTCTCTTCTTCTCTATAAAAAAAAAATCAATATATTTTTTTAAAAAAATGAAATGTTATCAGAACATAGTCACACCTGCCTTCTACATACTGTGGGTTTGATGCTATGATGCAGAGCTGAGTGGGAAAAAGGCCCTATAGTCTGTGAGGCTGAAGTATTTACTACCCACCTGGCCTTTAACAAAAAGTTTGCCGACCCTAATTTAGGGTTAAGTTTTCTGTATTTCCACATACACCTACCCAACACTCATGTCTGAGGGTATACCTTCCAGAATATTACCATCCTGACCATATATAAACGGTGGAGAAGAGCTTGATGACTCAGGCAGAGCTCCTTTAGAACTTTTGGCCTTTTAGACCAAGACTTTGTATCTTTAGTCTTAAAATTCATAGTTTTTGAAGTCAAAATGACACCAAATGGGAAAAATCGTAACAGTAAATGCGTTCCTTGGGATGTTTACTAAAATTCAAATCACAAAGCAGTTTTCAGAGCTCTATGCAATATGAGGGCAAATAACTGCCTCTCTGAATTCCATGGCACACTTCTCCCTGGACAGTTATTAGTGGGTTGCCCTTATTTTGTTTCAGAATGTGGGAAGAGGGGAGAGATGACCACATATCCACTTTACAAACGAGAGCACGTAGCTTTAAAACATTAAGAATAAACATGCTTTTTCCCCCTTCTACAGACTATATTAGGAGGAGGGGAGAAGGGCCATGATTTTTATCTCTGCCCCGATCCACTCTATTACACAACCAAGGACACTCCCAGCACTCGGATGACCATGACAGAGAGTATGCTTAGTGACACAGCTCACAGTGCTGGATTCAGCTCTGACACATGAGTGCATCTTTACACAGTGATATTTTTACTTTTCTCCCACAGTCAGTAAAATGATTTAAAAAAAAAAACAAAACCCTTCTCCGTCAAGATGCAAACGTCATCATACTCATTGCACCTGAGGGGTTTCTTTTTAAAGGCAGCAAGCTAGTCTTTGTCTTGTTAGGTATTTCTGGCGTAAAGAGCCATAAAGGGCCATATAAAAAGAGCTCTACCATGTGGCAGACATGACTGAGACAGGCCGATAGTTCCTTACTCTCCAGAAGACTCAGCCCTGGAGCTCAATTGCTGCCAGGTCTCCCACAACAGCAACTCTGCAAAACTAACAGGACAAGGGTCCTTCAAAGCCCCGGTTACAGCTCAGCATCAGAAAGGGAGTGATAGGAAGCTGAGATACCCTCCATACCCACCGTAGGGTGTCCCACTGCCATTCTCGGCTCCACTGCCTGCAGCCTGCTGCTGCCCTTGCAGCAGTGAGCTGCCCGGCTGCTCCTGACAGACATAGATGGTTAAGCGGGGCCTAACCGACCTGTAATCACAAGATGCCACTCATGAGCCAGGAGAGAAAGCCGCCTCACCACATGTACAAATGGCAACTACAGGAATCTAAGTTCTATTTCCTTATGAGAACTTTACAATGTTATTTCATTATACAAAATAAATTACTAATAAAAATATAAAAACACACACCTCACACCAACTATCACAGGTGGTCTAATCTGATGATCCAGACTCTAAACCACTGAGATGGTCTGTCAGATGCTGGTAAATTTAAGTTCCAAGATTAAGTCAGCAATTTAAGATCAGTAAGATTCAGTTTTAATGGAATTCTCACACAAGTCTAGAAATAGCAATAATAGTATATGAATCTAAAAATCCAGCAGTTTACGGTTCTTTCATTTTAATTCACAATCAGAAGTTTACATTTTTAACAACTGTTTAGTAGTAGTCATATGACCTTGAAAACCATAGATTCTGTATAGCTCACCTAAATGAGAAGTTTGTTTTCTTGGCAACAAACCCAGTCGTCTTCAAGAAATCAGTACTGCCCATGTGCATTTCTACCAGTCTTACAGTCTATCTGCCCTCATCAGTGCCTGCATCAAATCTGGGCCTGCCCTGAAGGTGTACACAAAACAGTCTTCTTGTGAGCGTGACACTGCCGAGGATCGACAGCGCACACAGGCACACGCCAACCCAGTGTGGAAACCCATTCTGCCCCAGTCCCCACACAAGGAAAGGCACATAAGACATTCCTTTAAACACAGTATTTTACCTTGACTTCAGTGAATTATACAGCCGAATTCCATCGGCTGCCCCACAAATTTGTACTAAATCTTCCTTTGTCAGTTTTAATAAGTCGGCACCTGGAGAACAGCATAAAGAGATTCCGCTCAAAGAAATGGAAAAAGAACTAGCAGATTAGTGGCTTTATGACATCTGTCTTCACACAGATGACCTTCAAAACCATCACAGGTCTCCTGTGTGTATAATTACACAACACACACATACACACCCCTGTTTCTCAGAACCAAGTGCTGGCTCTTCCATGTCCTATATGAAGGAGCTTAGAAGGCCAGAGGCTGATAAATCAGAACAATGAGCAGAGCTGACAGGAGTGTCTGTTCCAACACAGGATTTCACCACCTGCATTATTCTGGATGTGTGGTTGTTGTATGGATAATCATGATTCTGACCTCAGATAATTTACCTTGCGATCACCCAGACCAATCTTATTTTACAAAAAAATAAAATGTAAGTCCAGAGTTTGGGAACTTGCCTAAGGCAACACAAGTTGGAAGGACACCAGGCCCCTCTGTACCAAGCAATGTCAAGTCAAGCACTCTGTAACCAGCAGCCAGTGTTAATATGAAAACATGGCAGAGATGCCAAAACCGGCTCAGTGGATAGAGTGTCAGCCTGCGGACTGAAAGGTTCCAGGTTCAATTCCAGCCAAGGGCATGTACCTTGGTTCCGGGCACATCCCCAGTAGGGGGTGTGCAAGAGGCAGCTGATGGAGAGTTAGAAACATCAGTGAGAGAATCATCTCTCTCTCTTCCTCTCTGTAAAAAATCAATAAAATATATATTTTTAAAAAGAAGCATGGCAGAGAAACAGTAAGATACTGTAAGATTCCCCCACAAATGTTTGGTAAGTGTAAATGACATATCTAGATTTGCTATAAACTACAACACAAAAGGGAGAGGGAGAGACTAAGAAGAATAAGACTGATCAGTAAACTCGTCATTTCTGAAACTGGAGATGTTTACACGGGTCCATCATTTCTTCTCTCTACTCTTTATGTGTGAATGTATCCCGTAATCTTTTGTTTTTTGTTCCACTTTTATTAACACTCAAGGTGTAGTTTACTGTGAGAAATGAGATGCCCTCTGGGATTAAGGCATGACTTCCATGTGACAAATATCCACTTACCTATGTGACTAGATAATGGGGTTATCTTTCTTTTTTTGAGAGTTTGAATGTGAGCGCCTAATAACTTTACAAGTTTGTAAAAAAACTACAGATGAGAGAAGCACATTTCTCATGAGGCACTAGCGTTGATGGAATCAGTTAAACAAAGACAGGCTCTCTCGTCTCCCTTCTGGGGACAACTACATGCCTCTCAGTGCAACCAGAGATGAGTGTGTGCACATCCTTAACCCTCCACAGACCTGGACAGATACTCATGTGCACAACCCTCTCCGAAATGTGAATGCGCAGGAGGCTCAGAGAAGGAACTCAGTTTCCTCCTCACCACTGTGCTGTGGGGAAGCTCCCAGAGCAGAGGCCAGAGGCCAAGCCATATGGTCACTGGTCACACTGGAACAAGCTCAGAATTCTCCAGACAGAAATATGGACCTAATCTAAGGGGGCCTAATCCAGGATCTCCCTTAGCTCAAGAGGTCAGAGTGCTATGTGTGGGCTTTACTCTTCATCCGTCTTTTTTTTTTTTTTAATGTATTTTTATTGATTTCAGAGGGAGAGAGAAACATCAATGATGAGAATCATTGAATGGCTACCTCCTGCATGTCCTCTACTGGACACTGAGGCCACAACCCAGGTATTTGCCCTTGACTGAAATAGAATCTGGGACCCTTCAGTCCACAGGTCAACGCTCTATCCACTGAGCCAAACCAGCTAGGGCCATCTGTCGTCTTCATAGGAGTTCAAAATGTGTTTCCTTCTCACACAGTGAAATTTTTAAATTTACAGTTTCTGCTTAGTCAAAGAAATGTGGCTGGTAGCACATGACTTTCATTCAGTACTTCAGAGAGACAAAAACTACATGTGAATTGGCTGATCATCCACACAAAAGGAGGCCACATCCTTCGTGAAATCAAGCTTTCCTCTTGGCCAGGTATGTGCATATGCTCTGTCCTCTTAAAAGGCTCAAGCTGCATGTTTACAACCACAGCACTGTGGGCACTTTCCTGCGGCCCATGTTTCTCAGAACACATTGGTCAGTGTCTTGTAAGAAAAGGGTTCCAGGGCCGGGACCGGTTTGGCTCAATGGATAGAGTGTCGGCTTGGGGACTGAAGGGTCCCGGGTTCAATTCCGGTCAAGGGCATGTAACTTGGTTGCGGGCAGATCCCCAATAGGGGGTGTGCAAGAGGCAGCTGATCGATGACTCTCTCTCATCGATGTTTCTAGCTCTCTATCTCTCTCCCTTCCTCTCTGTACAAAATCAATAAAATATATTAAAATATATTAAAAAAAAAAAAAAGAAAAAAAAAAAAAAAAAGAAAAAAAGAAAAGGGTTCCAGGGACAAATATGTTTGGGGAAAATCTCCCACCTGGTGTATCTGTTACTGTCCCTCTAAATAGTTTTCTCCTGTTCAACTGCTTAAGCCCTGTTAAAATCCCAGTAAATATTCTCTTCACTTACTATGCATGACTACACTAAAATACTATAGAGACCATCTCCGAGCAGTTCATGCCATGCAATAATACACAGCAAGAAAGAGGAGTAAACTACTGATACACACAACCACCTGGAGAGACTTACACTGAGTGAAAAGAAAGCCAATCTCAACAGGTCACATACTGTATGATTCTATTTATAACATCTTAAAATGACAAAATAGTGACAGAGAACAGATTAATGGTTGCCAGGGATTAGGGATGGGGGTTAGGGGGTTTAGGGCTGCATAAGGGAAATCCTTGTGATGGCGTATCTCTCTTCGTATCTTCAGTGGTGGTTATACAAATCTATGCATGCGATATATGACACAGAACTATATATACAGTGCACCAATGTCAATTTCATGATCTGGATATTGTACTGTAATAATGTGAGTGAATGGTTCCCTGGAGCATCTCTGTACTATCTTCGCAAACTTACTGTAAAGAAAAAATTACTTCAAAATAAAAAGTTATTAAGTGAGCTGAAACCGGTTTGGCTCAGTGGATAGAGGTCAGCTTGCGGACTGAAAGGTCTCGGATTCGATTCTGGTCAAGGGCATATACCTGGGTTGTGGGTACATCCGCAGTAGGGGGGGCGTGCAAGAGACAGCTGATCAATGACTCTCTCATGGATGTTTCTAACTCTCTATTTCTCTCCCTTCTATAAAATATATTTAAAAAAAAAAAAAAAGAGAAGTTATTAAATGAAAAAACTGCACAGAACTATATGTGCCTGTACACAAATGAGGGCACATAGAACTGGTGAAGAAGTAGACTGTATTGATGTTAGTTTCCTAATTTGATAGTGTATAACAGGGGTGTGCAAAGTATTCCCCCGGGGATGGAGGGGGGGAACTGAGTGATAGGTACCCAGGACTACCTGGGATATGTTTTAACACCATCTTATGAATTTATAATTACTTCAAAATTTATAAAAATAAAGCTAACAGAAGGTACAGAGACAGATAAAATATGCACGTGCATGTGTGTGCTTACACATGTACATGTGTGTACACACACAAAAACATACCTGAAAAATTGGAAAACAGTCTTGTGTAGGAAGAAAATCTGTTTTTGACCAGCCACTGCTGTGTTTCCTGGGTGGTGGCTGAAGGCTGAAGTTGCTATTAACAAAGAAAATGAATATAAATAGAAGAAACTATTCAAAGCTATAAAAACATAACCCAGGCCGCTAGCATGTTATATATAACATTGAAACAAAACACAGAAATCCTCCAAATTTGAAGTAAAAGAACACTCAAGAACTGCATTAAGTCTGACAATTCAGTGATCCAACCACTGATTCAAGCCTCTGTCAGAGCCTTAAAAATACAGGCCCCCAAAAGCATCTGAACAAGTTCAAAGAACAAGACACTTACTTCACTAGAGGTTTGTGAAACTCCATCTCCCTGATGATTTGGGGAAGAAGAATTGCTGGAGAAAAGGGAGAGGGGAGGAAAAGATAGTTATTATTTATATGTTTATATAAAATCAAATATTAAAGACTATTCAACTAGGTAAACTTAAAAAAAAAAATACTGTGTGACAGAGTAACATAAATTTGCAATAAGAATATTGGCACAGCCCTAGCTGGTTTGGCTCAGTGGATAGAACACTGGCCTGTGGACTGAAGGGTCCTGAGTTCGATTCTGGTTAAGGGCACATGCCCGGATTGTGGACTTAATTCCAGGGGGGTCGGGAGGGGGGGGATGGCGGCGGCAAGCAGGAGGAAGCAGATCAATGATTCTCTCTCATCGATGATTCTCTCTCATCGATGTTTCTCTCTCTCTCTCTCTCTCTCTCTCTCTCTTTCTCTCTCTCCCCCTCCCTCCCTCCCTCCCCCTTCCTCTCTGAAATCAACATCAACAATAATAGTAATAATAATAATAAAAAATGTTGGCACAATTGATAAGGAGTGAATATGATGAGATTAAGACAGAAGACTTCCTTTAAAAAAAAAATTTTTTTTTTAATTAATTTTTTACGGAGAGGCAGAGAGAGGGATAGAGTTAGAAACATCAACCAGCTGCCTCCTGCACAACCCTTAGTGGCGATGTGCCCGCAATAAGGTACATGCCCTTGACTGAATCAAACCTGGGACCCTTTAGTCCAAACCAGTTAGGGCCAAGACTTGCTTAATTTTTGCCTTTTCTTTCTCCATCTGTGACAGTAAAAGATTCTAGCTCTATGAAACAAAAGGATTCTAATTATCTCCAAGTGAACAGGAAAATGAAGGACACTCATTCATTTTAGTTGGGGGTTGGGGGAGGGAGAGTGGGAATATGAGAAATCAAGAAACAAACAATTGAAAGCTGCAAAAAATCCACTTTAAGAAAACAATGAGCTATAAAGGAGTGTTATGATAATTCTAAATCAAAATGATATCCCTTTTAATACATTTATCCATCATTACAGGGCAGAATTCAAGAGAACAAAAGAAACAATCGTATCCCACTATCCTTTGTTTCTAAGGTGAAACAAAAATGAGAACAACTGCACGGCAGATGTGGCCACCTTCCTGGTCCTGGCTCTGACTCTCAGCACTAATACTGAAGTTTTACTTAGTTGTATTGTGTTGATTGTTCAGCATCCTCTTCTACCCACTAGAACTTAAGATCCTTAGAGCCGCTCATTAGGCACATCAAGGCCAAAGAGTAGAACTAAGTCATCATCCCCATTTCTTTTTTTAAAAATATATTTTATTGATTTTATACAGAGAGGAAGGGAGAGAGATAGAGTTAGAAACATTGATGAGAGAGAGTCATCGATCAGCTGCCTCTTGGTTGTGGGATATGCCCACAACCAAGGCACATGCTCTTGACCGGAATCGAACCCGGGACCCTTCAGTCCCCAAGCCAACGCTCTATCCATTGAGCCAAACCGGTCCCGCCATCATTCCCATTTCTAAAGCTACTTAAGTTCTTTAAGGGTAGAGTTATTAAAAAAAAAAAAAAAAAAAAGTGCATCTATTAGGAGGAGAAGAAATGGAGCAGAGAAATAACCCTTGTGTAGTATGGTGAGCATTAAAGACAAATATCCTTTATAATGATTGCAATCTTAACATACTGATTCAGTTTCACCTTAAAATCTCATTGTTCTTTCTCTGCCCATGAACCTCAATAATGTTCTCTTTATCTCTAAAGAATATATCTTGAAATGCTCCCTTTCTACGACTTCCATAGTTTGTGAGTGTGTGAGGCGAAAGGGCCAGAAGGAAAAGGCAGGCAGGTGAGGAAAGTGATTTCCCATGACCACATACTTCACATAAACTGATGGAAAGGGAGCTGTAAATTGAGAGAAAGGGAAACAGAGGGGCGTAAGCATCAGTCAGCTGCAGGCACACGAGGACACAAAGCAGATGCTACCTGTCTGGGACGCTGCAGGTGCTCTGCTGTGGGGAGGTGAAGGCGGGCGCTGTGGAGGGACTGTTATTCACAAAGGCTGTAGGGGCGTCGGGCCATGGAGAACACTAAGGATAGAAACAAAAATAAATTAATAGTATGTTTTTAAAGTGTGTGGAAGAATACTTTGTATTTCACAATCTAATCTGGCCAAACAAGATTATAAAACACAAGACATCTGACACTCATCAAGCAACGGCATGGGAACATATCATATTTCCTTCTATGTGGCAAGGAAAATTTTTACCTGCTCTATGTGTCTAGACACTGATTAATTTTAGAGAAGCCCAGAAGTGATGATAGCAGCAAAACATCATCAAGGTATATTTATATACAATTTTCTTTCAAGAACTTTTTACCTCCCTCTTTATCAGTTCTCCAAAAGGTGCTTATCAAGGTTTAAGAATAGCAGAGACAAGAAATGATTCAGAAGCAACATCTGACATCACACGGTGGCCAAGACAGTGTCTGTCCTTCCTAGTGCTCCTTCTGCCCTCACCAGTACTCACTTGCTTCCTTCATTTCTCTAAGATTAATAATCCTCAAGTAAGCTGAAACCATTCCAGTGCCAAAATACACCTGTGTGTGGTACTGCCTATTCCTATCTATCCACATGTGTTTATTTTTTAAAATATATTTTTATTGATTTTTTACAGAGAGGAAGGGGACAGGGTTAGAGAGTTTAGAAACATCAATGAAAGAGAAACATCTATCAGCTGCCTCTTGCACACCCCCACTGGGGATGTGTCCACAACCAAGGTACATGCCCTTGACCGGAATCAAACCCAGGGCCTTTGCTCTATTCACTGAGCCAACTCATTTGGGCTGTTTATTTCTTATATTTTCTGGACAAGGCATGGTGAACTAAAGTATTTTTTCAGCTCTAGACACAATTCTGACCAAAGATAGAGCACAGCTACAAAGACATATTGACATCAAAAGCATGTGACAGGCCAGCATGATATCAAGAAAAGTCTTCAAGCCTGAGCAATGGAGGGAATCCACTCACTCACCCTACATATTCTCCCTAAAACTAATCTGCTTGAGGAAACCCTTGGTTTCAAAGATCCTCTTTCATAGTCACTCTTCTACTTTTCACAAAAAAGGCATTGGATCTCACGATGGCTAACCATGGGGTATAAGACTCTTCCAAATCAAAGCAAAAAAAAACAAAAACAAAAATTCAAAAATTTAGGGTAGACACTAAGAAAGTACATGACTCAAATTAGGGAGTTAGTGGAGAATATGAGGAGATAAATGATTTTAGAAGGAGACTTGACTTGGGGTGGTGAAGACACAATAGTGTACACCGATGACGTATTGTGAAATTATGCACTTGAAACCTGTATAGTTTTTTTAACCAGTGTCACCCCCCTAAGTTCAATAAAAAGGAAAAGAAATAGTCTGTGGGTTAATAAATATTTCCTTTGCCTCTCAAAAACAAAAATTAAAAAAAAAATTCTTCTGTATGTCTGGTAGCTTCCAGTTATTTGCTTTCAAAACAATCCTGGAGGATCTACCATTAGCGGGCACAGTGTTAAAATAACTAGGGGTATATAAAATCCATCACTGGGATATTTGGCAGATAACTCAGAAGGAATTTCAAAACCTGAAAGGCACTGCCGAAAGAAAAGTATCTAAATAAACTTTCTTAATCTATTAAAAATCTAGAATTAGGTTCTACCCTGAGATGTATTTCCAATAATACTTCTATTTTTATATTTTAAAATTCTCATCAAAACCTGCATGGCCTGCCTGGTTTGGCTCAGTGGTTAGTGTCATCCAGGTATCAAAGGGTCTTGGATTAGATTCCTGGTTGGGGCAAACTGATCAATATTTCTTACATCAAGATTTCTCTCTCTCTAGAATCAATGAAAAAAAGCACACATATCCTCAGATGAGGATTAAAATAGTGATTTCTATGATTTGTTTTGATAAGTTGGTACCAAGAATAAAGCTTCAATTTTTCAATGGACTAAAGAGCCCATGGTCACAGGGCATTTTAAAACATTTCAGGCATAATATAATAGTATGTCCTATCACGGTAAAACTAAGGGGAGGGGAAGAGAAAACTTATCAAGAAGAGCAGGATAAAGTTTCGTGAACTTTTAAAATGAACAATGGTGGGTGTCAAATTGCTATGGTAGTGGAGTCTACAGAATATACTTCAAAAAGCAATGTAATAGGTTTACCTTAAATTTTACGTGCAAATACTCATTAGGGCAGAAAATTGTCTCCTTTTACAATGACTTAAATGTATGATGAACACTTTCAGATGTTAACATAAAAACGTGGATGGGAGTATATTTTTTCTTAAAACTCTTGAATATGCAAGAGTCATGACCACTAGTGTGAAGGAGCTAAAAGACTGTGCAGCACTCTGGGCAGAAAGGAAGTCTCTCTAATGGTTACAAGAGCTTAAAGCAACTGACAGCTATCAGAAGCATCAATACAAGGAAAAATAAGACAGAAACCCCGAATCTTATTTACAACTGCTCATCATGTATTCTTCAAAAATGGGGAAAGTGACTGCACTTATTGTTTCTACAACTTGTTTCTACAAAAAAAGGAATTTACTGGCTGGACAGCATTGCTAAGCATATTGCATAGCATACCAATTTCACTATAAACTTCACACAAGGCCATTCTTTTACTTTCCACCTTAGGAAGTCGTTACCTTCCCGGCCTCTACAGTTTGAAGAACCTAAGAGTTTGTGAGCCAACTGACAAATCAAATAACTATGGGTGTGCCCTGTTCATAGCCATCTCCACTCCTCAGATCTTCCTGCTACACCGTCTTCCTCAGACACTAACTACCACCACTAGCAAGGTAACTGCAAAGTAATATAAACCTTTTCATGTCAAGCCTCCCAAAATCTGCCTTGTAATTTTTCCAGCGGTCTACCAAGGAAATGAAACCATCAAAACTTTCAGATTAGTATGGCAGCGCAACGACAGCGACACCAAATTGCCTGAAACTTCATAAACATATCTATTTTCACTTACACATCTAAAGCTGTTAATAGCTGACATCTAAAACTTGCCCAATAAATAAGAGACTCGATTCACTTAACACAGTGGTTGGCAAACTCATTAATCAACAGAGCCAAACATCAACAGTACAATGATTGAAATTTCCTTTGAGAGCCAAATTTTTTAAACTTAGGTAGGTACATTGTTATTAACTTAATTAGGGTACTCCTAAACTGGCCTTTGCTAAAAACTCAAGGGGCCAAAGAGCCGCGGTTTGCCAAACACTGACTTAACAGTAGAAAACTAGTGTTCAGTGAAAGCTGGTTGTATGGGGAAGCCTCTACTTTTAGAAAAGAATGGATTCCGAGTTCTAAAATGGCCACCAAGCACCAAGACCTGCCTGCCTGTGTTTCACAGATTTCTCTAGCAGTCTCAACCCAGGAGGGTAAAGGCTACCAAGGGATATTTTCAGTTTCTTCTACCTGGTCATTCTGCCCCGTCTTTAAAAGTAAGCGAAGGTGCAGGGCCTGTGTTCCTGAAGGCAACCTGTAATCCATCACCTGGCCTGGACCCTTATAGTCACGCACTGGCGCACTGGGAACAGAGTCCCTCTTCAGGCAGACTAGAAAATGATGACCCGCCTGAGACTGCAGAAATTGGCAGCCTGATTTGAGCCAATAAAATACAGCTCAGAGGCAAAGAAACAGACACACCAAGAAATGGTTGTGTTGGGCAGTAGCACTTAGGAGCCAACCACAGTGCCTCTATTCCACTGGGACCATTTCTCACAGCACCTTTTATCTTTAACAGATGAGTCTGGATATCCCTCTCTACCGACAGTCATCTGCAACTAACTAGCCAAGACTAAGAAAAATGTGGCCTTCCTCTGTAGGCATTTGAAACGATGAAATGCTGCAGACTCTTTGTAAAACAGGTACCCAGCTTTTTAAAAAACAGGTTTCCAGGAGGAGCTCTAACCACCCTTAAGAATCTCTTAACCAAAGCAAACGCAGCCCAGGCAGCAAGCAACACACACAAGGAAGATGTGAAATCCCAGGCTCCCAGGCCAATGAACTGCTGACGTTTTGCATACTTTAGACTTGAGTCAATAATTTAAAAACAATTCTACCATCTTCAGATTAGCTCTGGGCTCAAGTAGATTTAATTTATTAATGATGAGAACCTACTCCTTTTAATTAGTGATGTAGTTTCTAAAAAGAGTGGGAAGGTGATTCGAGTTACCAGTATTTTCCCCAAAAAATTTAAGAACCACTTCAGCTGAAAAATCCTAAGAGGCTAAAGACAAATTCAAATGGAGTGTATAGTTGTTCCATACAACCTTTGACTGGCATTAAAAAACCCAGTTAAAATGCAACAAGTGTACTCCCCATCCTTTCAGACTAGTCGCTTACAGTTTTATTGTACAGAGAAGCATTTAAAACATTTTCAGTAAATGGTTTTAACTTGGAGATGATGTTCTAGTGATTGTGCTTGTGACTTTGTAGTCTACAAATAATTAAACACATGTTTAAGAGTGAAAAATTCCATTTTTGTCATTTTAATAGGATGAACACTATAATGATAGTGTAGCCATTAATACAGCTATATAAGAAAAGGTTTAATGCTCTGTGTTTACATTTACTGTGGATATATAGCTGATCTAGACTGTTAGATGGAGAGTTGTGTCATAAAGGAAGAATTTGCTATATTCAAGCAGAGAAAGCTCATATTTAACCAAAATTCCCCTGGCTATATGTTGGGGGGATCTGGATCTGAGTATAGCAAGGTGCACTGCTCTGGCCTGAAGCACAAGTTCATGATGCAATGCAAGTTCACGGTGCAGTGCAAGTTCAGTGCATTGCTGAGAGGAACACTGATGCAGTCAAGGCCATTTTCCTACCAGTGCTGCCAAACAGGCTTTTAAAAGCACAGACAGACACACATTCTTACACTACATGCAGGGAAACGTGACACAAAGTATTGCATGTTAATGTCAAGCTTGCTGCCATCATTTCTCTAAATATCCATGACATTCTCTTATCAGTTATATACATGAGGAAGCAAAACCCTTTAAAATTAAACAAAAATGCTAACTATTTTTACTAAAGACTGTACTTTCCATTAATTTTAGTGCTCTTAAAGGAAGTGTGTGTGCCGAGGAGGGAGGGAGAGAAAGGGAATGACACAGGGAGGGAACACATTTCTGAGTGTCGTTTTTCCCTCTAAAACCACCCAATAAGTTCAACTTTGTTTTAAAGTGTTAGATTTAGGAAATTTTCCTCAGCGAGGAACAAACAGAAAGCAGGAAGTCTAAACAAAAGCAAATTAAATCAAGACAAGGACATCAAAAACAAATTTGGCTTTACTTTTCTGTGGAAGTAGGTCCTATATCTAACACTGCACAAGGTTTCCTGCACAATGAAAGGAGAAGAAGTCCCTTACACTGCCTCGCTTTGCCAGAGAATCACCGTAGTCTGCTGGCAAAGTCCGCTTGCTGGACTTTTTCTGCTCATGTTCAACTGCATCTTCAATTATAGGCTCAAGCCTCATCTGGACAAACACCAAAGATTGGGATCAATGTCTTTTCATTATACAAAGAAAGACCCAATATCCTGTTTTATGTCTCTGCAGTCCAATTAAACAATTGCATGATTAGCAGGATTCAAAGTTAAAGAAAATGCAAAACCCCAGCAGTGACAAAAATCAAACTTTCTAGGCCCCGGTTTAATCTCTTGCCAACTTCAAGGTTTTTAAGGTCTGTTTCAGAGACCTGATTGGGATTTCAGCATCTTCATTCAAGATCCCACCCAGGAAACTAATCCATTAAAATCCCAGAATTTAAATAATATATTTCCCCCACAAATTTCACAAAGAATATATGTCAAACTACCCCCCAACCTTCCCCAATCCCTTCTTGGCAAAACTCATCCTTATAAATAGTGTCAATATGCAAACCTCTGCTTCTCTCCAGACACCAAACTGCTGCTCTGCATTACCTCTGTGAGGATTGTGGTATCATAGGATGGCTGATACTTTTCTTTTTCGTGAGCAGTTCTCTTCTCCATCTTCTCTCGGTCAGTTTTTTGCTTCCGGTCTGCACCTTTAGGCTAAAAACCAGCAGATTATTTTGTCCGTCAGGTTACAAACAACTTTATAAGCAAAACTGGGCCTTAATTACTGGAAGCCTGGCTTCCGTCTCTTACCTTAAAAACTTTGATTTGGCAGCTCGCTGAGTGTAGATGATCTGTATATTCTCCATTTTCATTCTGCTTAAAGGTGTCCACCTGGATCCGAAAAGGCACTCCCTTCTCGCCTCCATGCTTCCGGGGAGTAAATTCTGTGCTGATGCAGTGTACCTGGACAATTGGAGATGGATTCAAAGTACCATCCACTGGTTTGTCCCTCTGGATGTCCCGTCACCGCTATAAATGTAAGTTCCTTTAAAACAAACTCCCACATCTTGGCCAGGTATCTGTTATGAATTTCTCTGATTGTTTTTAATATATGGCTTTCCTTTCACCAAGCCAGCTGGATCTTTCTGCACTTTGTGGGAATGAGCTCTTCTTTCCCATTCCAATGCCTCTCCTGACTTGCTCTGATCATGGGTACAACAGTACAGAGGCTTCCTGCCTACTTCCCCTATCTCCACTCCAGACCCTATACTGCTCTCAGACCCAGCTAAGCCTTGCACGTGGCTCAATTCATAGCAACCTTGAGTTCATCATTCAGAGCTTCCACTATTGCCCTTACTGTGAAATACCCTAACTACACATTCATTCATCTTACTGTTATCCCAACCTTCATCAACTTGGAATACTTTTGCCTGGGGAACTTCCACAGCCCAGAAAACCCACCACTTGTCCTACCTGTCCATCTCAATTCTTCTGTCAACCCTTCCAAGGGTTCTAAGGGCATCTTCCATCACTATGCACCCTCACCATGGAGACAGCTTTAGGATACTTCACAGGATCAGTAAACGGATTTTTGTAATTTCAGACTGATACACATCCTGTCTTCTAGTGACTCTCAAAGTGAAAACTGATCTCAGCAGGATACTGTGCACAACCTGAGATTTAAAGCCACTCCTACATTACTTTCATTCACTGTATATCCTGTTAGACAAACAGTATGAGAACATATTCAACTAATATGAACCATGTTCCTAGCGACTACTAACTGATGTAATATAGTATTTGCCAAACCACAAAAATTCAAAATACCAAAGATTCTTTACTGTTCATAAAAACCACAGTCTACATAGGCTAATCAGTGATTAAGCAGTATATTTTATCCACGTAAGATTACCTACTCAGTATTTCTAATCTTTCCACTGACAAATCTGAACATCCTGGGTATTAGAATTACCATAGGTTTCACTGTATATATATTCTATATATATATTTTAAACTTCATCTCTTAAAGATACAAACTGAGTACTTACGGTTGACATAAAATGCCTGAGAGTTGCTTTAAAGTATTCCATCAATAACTTAAAAAAGGGAAACTATTCATAACGTGAAGGTAGGTGATGAGTACACAGAGAATTCATTCTTATTATTCTCTTACTCTTGTGGTTTGAAAATTTCAGTATTAGAATGTTGCCAACAGAATCTTAGAACACTTTTTTTGCAGTCACATCCTTTTATATGGCAGCTTGGGTTCCAGAGAAATGCATCTTATGAAAACTGCAAGTTTTGATTAGTTACTACCCAGTGGTAAAAGTAACATTTAAATAATGCTTGACATATCAGCTTGCCTTCACATGTGTTAGTCTGTAATAATAGATTTCGTGTATTAACTTCAATTTAAGTATATAGTGTATTTTTAGAGACACTGCCAGAAAGTTTACAAAGAAGCTTTTATTTTTTAAAATAAAATTTTTTTTATTTAAGGAATTTCATATTCTGAGTTCTTCCACTGTTTTAGTTCCTCCCGAGTTTGAGTCTTAATCATCTTACTCCCTTTTTTGCTCAATCCTGATGTCATTTCAGTCGGTCAACAATCTTTTTAGCTGAGCTTCTTTGATCTACACTTGAATGCTTCAAAAACTCTGCACCTTTAATCGTTGGGAGCTAATTTCCTCAAGCAATTTACTTTAGGATCGTGGTTAGGGTCTGAGTAGATGGATCTGCCTGGTTTTTTAATTTCTGACACCTGCTAAACATGAGTAAGTGCAAATCTTCACTTCTAAGCTATCACTCTCTAGAATAGGACAGATCTTCAGAATATATAAAAATATCTAAGATTAAAAAAATTAAAAAGATTATTAAGTCTGTTGCAGTTTTAGCAGCTGTCCTGTTATTCCTTCCCACAGATCTAACACACAGTTCTGTGAATAAAGGAAGCAACATATTTATTCTATGAGGCGTTTCCAACGATGTAGGTCTACAGGAAAAGACCCATCGGGATAGACCTCAATCTATAAATAGCTTTTAAAGAAATTTATATTATGCATCAAAAACTCAACCTCAAAAAAAAAAAAAAAAAAAAAGAAAAGAAAGAAAGAAAGGAAGAAAAAAATGGAATTCAAGCTCATTCATGACCTTCTAAATGACAAGGCTAGTATATGTCTAGTAAAGTAAAAAATCCGAACCTGAATGAAAGCAGATGTGCGTTTTGCAGGGTCCCACAGAAATTCAACTGCATTTAACTGGCTTGGATTTGTCCTTGTGTCAATTATTCCCACGGACATTGGGATATCTGTATTTTAAAAAAGAAGTCATAGAAACTCGTCTATTAAGAATAATTTAAAAGCTTATAGCTTACTCTATGTTTTAGTGAAAATGTTATACCTCTATGCGCACTTTGTTTTTCCATGTTCTCTGTGGTCAACCATTTCAACATCAAAACCCACCTAATGAGTATCAGACTTTCTCCCACCATGGGTTCTATTTCATTTTAATCAGAATATGATGGATGAATCCAAAGGAGAATTAAATAAATGGTTTCCAACTCATAATATTACTGGCGCAGGGTCTTTCAGTTTCACCAAAACTCTACAGCTGGTCCTCACACAACATGAGTGGGAACTGCACAGATCCACTTATGTGTAGAGTTTTTCAATACGTGTATTTTTCCTTCCTTATGACTTCAATAAGATTTTCTTTTCTCTATCTTAAGTACTCAATATATAATACACATAATATACAAAATATGTGTTAATTGACTGTTTAATTATCTATAAAGCTTCTAATCAACAACAGACTATTAATAGTGCCATTTTGGGGGAGTCTAATGACGTACAAATTTTTAACTGCATGGGGATCAGCCCATAACTCCAGCGTTCGTTGTTCAAGGGTCAATATTTTAAACTATAAAACAACTCAAGGCACACAGAATCCACTCACACCAAAACACTCTCCACACAATTATACGTGGTACCAACATGGGTATAACTAAAATGCCTTTATATTTCCCTCCAGGGTCTTCTGACGGTCACTGTACCTAAATCAAGAAGTCTATCTCCTGGGCGATTCCACTTCCAACCTTCGAGTTGCTGATGTTCTGTATACTGTAGCCGTCTATCATGGAATACGACTCTTATGATGCTCTATGGAATAAGTGGGGGAAATGAGTACTTTTAAACTGTTAAAGCTAAAATGCAAAAGCAGCCGAAACTGGTTTGGCTTAGTGGATAGAGCGTCGGCCTGTGGACTGAGGGGTCCTGGGTTCGATTCCAGTCAAGGGCATGTACCTTGGTTGAAGAAACGTCCCCAGTAGGGAGTGTGCAAGAGGTAGCTGATCGATGATTCTCTCTCATCAATATTTCTGACTCTCTATCTCTCTCCCTTCCTCTCATTGAAAAATCAATAAAATATATTTTAAAAAATATATTTTTCACTTCTTATGCATTCCTATAATAGAAGAACATACAAAAACAAATTCTGCTTTAAACAGTTTAACTGTTTTGCTCTTTTATACCTGGATTACAGGTACATGTATTTGTTGTAAGGATTAATTTTGCAACAAATTTAATTCAAATGTAAAGATCCCAAATAAAATGGTTAATTAGGTATAATTTGTATTTAAAAACCTGATATTATGATTCAGAATTAAGACACATGCCCACAAAACTCTTGAGTAAGAATTACATTTCTAGGTAGAAAACATTGGATGAACACAGGAATTAATAAAAAGGTGGTATAAAGACAGAGAAACCCAGGCACAATGATAAAACTGCTAATTTAAAATAACAGTTAATAACTGAGTGTCTGTAAAAAGATAGTCATCTGGGGAGAAGAGGGGACATCTGCATCTGCCCTGAGAACTTATAGGCAAAATTCACTCTCAACTTTTTACCTGAAAGAGTGAAGAAAAACCAAACCAAACCAAAACACATCAAGGCAACTTTATCCAAACACTCAAGTTCCTAAGGGAAGACTTTTAATCCCACAAACTCTAGGCCAAGTCTCTGTTCTCCACCTATCACCCTTTCTTCACCTCCACAGGTTTGGGGAGCCAGCTTCTATAATATTTCATTCCAGGGCCAGGATTAAAGAAGTCATCAAAACACATTCAGATGCCAAATTTGTACTAATTAGTGCTTCTGACACATGTATCAATAATTTTCTCAGACTATGCTGCAATAAGATAATCATATTTTCTTTTTTAAAACTACATATTTTTATTGATTTCAGAGAGAAAGGGGGGAAAGGGACAAGGGAGAGAGGGGGAGAGATGGGAGGAAGAGAGGGAGGGAGAGAGAGATTGATGATGAGAATCATTGATCGGCTACCTCCTGCACACCCCCTACTGGCGATGTGCCTGCAACCAAGGTACATGCCCTTGATAGGAATCGAACCTGGGACCCTTCAGTCCACAGGCTGATGCTCTATCCACTGAGCCAAACCAGTTAGGGCTAGGTCGAATTTTAATCAGGTGTGTGGTACAGTTGGTAGTTTTGTCCGAAGTTGAACCAAGCTGGCTAGGACCAAGGGCATGCTGAGAAATCTTCAGAATTCTAAGTTTCCCAGACACTGTTAAATGAGAGCATTGTCTGGCTCCTTGAGCAGACATTTAGCTATTTGCCACTAGTGTACAGTCAACCAAAATACGGCTTGCTTAGGGATAACAATGCCGATGACTTCATAAAACAATTCATCTAATCAGTGAATGCCAATATCGGGGAATGCAAAAATAAGATAATTTCACTCATCCTCTAGGGCAGTGGTCGGCAAACTCATTAGTCAACGGAGCCAAATATCAATAGTACGATTGAAATTTCTCTTGAGGGCCAAATTTTTTAAACTTAAATTTCTTCTAACGCCACTTCTTCAAAATAGACTCGCCCAGGCCGTGGTATTTTGTGGAAGAACCACACTCAAGGGGCCAAAGAGCCGCATGTGGCCCGCGAGCCGCAGTTTGCCAACCACTGCTCTAGGTTGACAAGACAATGATCCTTTTCCTTCATCTTCTCATGGATTGAGGGCTTCCTGTCCCAAGAGTGGGAGGAATACTAAAACATGTCAAAGACTCTCCAGCCTCCAGGCGCTGAGCACCTGGCTTACCCAGACACCCCAAATTTGCTAGCTTTAGTATTCATAGCCACTCCCCCACCAAGGCTGCCTTTTACATGCTCGCCTCTAAAGGAGAGTCTTTCCAATGGCATGCCTTTCCACAGTGAGGGCCCAGCAGCACCTGGGCCCCCTATATGCCTCTCTGAGGGGAGATGGAAGGATCAAGAGAACTCATGCTTCTCTTTTGCTAACACTTAGCCACACTGAAGTTTTGCCTTTTCCTAATTAAGTTTCTTCCATAAACCTTGCCCTGTAATGCTATGGAATTGGTAATAAACCATGGAACATGATAGGTGAGGCTAGAAGGACCCACCATGCACAATGGAGGGGGTGGGGACAATTCTGAAGATATATCTTATAAGCAATGGGTTGGCAGGACAGTGACTACACTGTCTGGAATGACTGCCTTCTTCATTCATCAGTAGGGTAAATAGAAATTTCAAAACATTTTTGAAAGAAATATTAACAGGTGAAATAAAAGGACCTTTTGAACTTTCATTTTTAACACATTTTCCCTTGTGTTATCTTTTACTTTTAAAGAGAAACTTAAATTTTTTGTAGTGGTGGTAGGTCTTTGCACACACAGCTGCAAGTAAATTTCATACGGTATGTTTCCAAAGGACTTTCACATTACATCAATAAATTAGGAGCTTTAAAATAGTGAAGTTAAGTTTTTTATAAAAACTCTTGCAGCAAAACTGCTTTTTAAAAATCACCGCACTATCTATTAGGAATGTAAAAGGATCCTCCTTACCTTTACCAATTTTCCAGTGATCTCAGGCATATCTCCCATTTTCCGATTATCCAGCATCCGAATTTCATAAGACTGACCTATTTTTAAAGAAATTGTATATTAAAAACAATCCACATAACAAACATTACTGTTTAATAAAAATATTAACTATCTTTCAAAATATACAATTACACAACATTCATTTGCTGGAAAAGCAAATTCAGGTTTATTATCTTTCTTGATCCTGCAACTGATACTATCTTTTCCTTCTTACACTATTACATAAGACTATAAAGAATTTCTGTTAATTTACATTAAATTTATGTTATACATATATCCATTACCTGAGACCAACTTTTTATAACAGCTTTTAAAAATATACATATAGTCCTAGCTGGTTTCGTTCTCAATAAAAAATTCAGAGAGGAAAGGAGAGGTAGAGAGAGATAGAAACATCAATGATGAGAGAGAATCACTGACTGGCTGCCTTCTGCACATCCCAACTGGAGATCAAGCCTGCAACCTGGGCATGTGACTGGGGTTCATAGATTGACCATCAACCAAACCACTGAGCCATGCTGCCCAGGCAACTGCTTTTTTAAAATATAATTTACATGCCATAAAATTCACCCTTTTAAAGTATACAATTAGTTTTTAGTACATTCAGAGCTGTGCAACTGCCACTGCTACCAATTTTAGAACATCACCCCAAAAAGGACTCATATCTATTAGCACTCACTACTCACCGCTCCCATCCTCCGAGCCCCCAGCAACTACTAATGATTCTACTTTCTGTCTCTAGGGATTTCTTACTTTGGACACTTGATATAAATGGAATCACACAATATGTGGCCTTTGTAACTAGCTTCATTTACTCAAGAATGTTTTCAAGGTTCATGCATGTTATAGCATGTATTAGTATTTCATTCCTTTTTACTGCCAACTATTATTCATTGCATAAATACACCACATTTTATTTGTTCATTCATTCATTCATTCATCAGTTAATGAACATGTGGGTTGTTTCCACTTCTGGCTACTATGAACAATGACATTAAATTCAAGGCATTTATTTTTAAGGTTCTAATATAGAACTTTAAAGCAAGAACCAGACCTAGCCAGTTTGGCTCAGTGGATAGAGCGTTGCCCTGTTGACTGTCAGTCCCAGGTTTGATTCCAAACAAGGGCACATGCCTGGCTTGTGGGCATGATCCCCAGTAGGGGGCGTGCAGGAGGCAGCCTATCAACGATTCTCTCTCATCACTAATGTTTCTATGTCTCTATTCCTCTCCCTTCCTGTCTGAAATAAGTAAAAATGTGTATTTTAAAACAAGAACCAAAACTAACCTCAAGGAAATAAGATTACCGTGCAAAATGAAATTAACAAAAAAAATGACATATGTATTTCATCTCTAGGGCAAAGAAAACTAAGGAGCAAATAAACAAATGGGACTACATCAAAATAAAGATTCTGCAGCACAAAAAAAACCATCAACAAAATGAAAAGGGAGCACACTAGATGAGAACATGTTTGGCAATGATACATCTGATAAAGGGTTAATATCAAAATATAAGGAACTCATACAACATAACAAAAGGAAGACAAACATTCCAGTTAAAAAATAGGAAAAGGACCTAAAGAGACTCTTCTCCAAAGAAGACATACAGATGGCCAAATGACGTAAGAAAAACAATGCTCAGTCACTGATCATCAGAGATGCAAATTAAATGACAATGAGGTATCACCTCACACCTGTCAGAATGGCCACTATCAACAAATGACAAGTGCCAGGGAGTATGTGGAGAAAAGGGAACCCTTTTCTAGTGGGAATGCAGACTGTTGCAGCCATTATGGAAAACAGTATGAAGTTTCCTCAAAAAATTAAATATGGAACTGTCATTTGACCTAAGGACCCCACTTCTAGAAATATGTCCTAAGAAACCCAAAACACCAATCAGAATGTATGCACCCCCACGTTCATAGCAGCACAATTTACATTAGGTCAAATGACAGTTAAGATATGGAAACAGCCCAAGTGCCCATTAGTATCAAGTGGATAAAAAAAAACTGTGGTACATTTACACCATGGAATACTATGCAGCAGTAAAAAAAAGGCTCTCTTACCCTTTGAGACAGCATGGAGGGACTTGGAGAGTATTACTAAGCAAAATAAGCCAGAGAAAAGCAAGTATCACATTATCTCACTCATATTTGGAACCTAATGAACAACATAAACTGATGAACAAAATAGACCCAGAGACATAGAAGCATGGAACAGACTGCAGAATCTCAGAGAGAAGGCAGAGGAAGGAGGGTGCGTTGAGATCAACCAAAGAACTTATATGCATAACCCGTGGACCAGCTCACTTATATCATGAGATGTGAAAGCATCAAAGACCTGGCTGGAGCTATAAAACAAGGGGCAGCCTATTCCAGCTAAATCCCTGCTAAAGCGAGAGTCAGCTGCGTTTACTCTACCCTCTCGTGGCTCCATGTTGGGATTGCAGGTTTTTTCTTCACATAGTTGACTGAACTCTTGTCGTTACCTAAGAACAGGTGCTTAAGGCATAACCAGGAAAACACCAAGTTTTTAAACTCTGAATTTCTATCGTTCAAAATAGTACAAAAATGGATACTTTAAGGCATCAATACAATTGGAAAACCTGCTCTAATTTCTATCTTTCCGATGAAGTCAAGACTACACAGAATTTACTTATTTTTTCTTTGTTACACAATGGCAGGTGAGCAATGATCTTTAAGGGGAGGCTACTAGGAATACTAGTAACCAAGCTATGGCCAAAGAAAGTGCAGAGCCCCTGCAATGTGCCAACCCTCTTATGAGGAAATTGTCCATTTAAGGTGGTTGTGAAGGGAAGCTCTCATGTTTGCCTGAATATTCAAAATAAAAAATGCAGATGGTCCCTACACTAGCAGCATCAGCATGACGTGGAAACTTATCAGAAATGCAAATTCTCCAGCCCCACTGAATCAGAAACTCAACGGAGCTCAGCAATCATGTTTTGACAAGCCCTCTATGAGATCCCAATGCTTGCTGAAGTTGGAGACCTAAAATATCTAGTCAGCCAATACTATTTCAAACAGAAAGCATTCAAGACCTTCTCCTGGGAATAACTTAATACTCAAAAGCTGTGAGTAAATGGTAAGATCAACCATCTTTTCTCAGAAGCTGAACAAATACTGTAGGATATGTTATGATAAACACTCTTCCAAAGAGAAAAATGGCCTAATTTGGGATGGCTAATTATACATTTGCATTATTTTGCATAAGGCTCATTTAATACAACGATATATTAAACACTGCACAGTATTACGGATAATAAGATTTCAAAAGTCCTTTATAGTTCAAATTATTTGTTTATGTTAAAATTAAGAACTAAATCTGTCTAAAGCTGTTTAAAGTAAACTGCAATTTGGTTACTTTGCAAGTAACCAAAATTCACTGAAGTCATCAGGTTTGACAGGACTGTAAATCTCGCAACAGTCTAGGGCAGCTCCCACTCCATTATACAAGTATGCTCCACAAATACACTGATGTTCACATATATCCATTACATATGTGCATATAGTCCATATATGCACATATGTAATGGATACACATATATGCACACATTTTATATACATAAGCAAGAGCATTAGATGCCCATTTGAAGCTCACAGGGCTTTGAGATAAGCTAAGGAGGCAATAATGCAGGAAGCAGAGTCTTTGTCTAAAGTATATTACACCCCATAGCCATTTTTAAAATAAGCCAAATTTTTTTGTTAACATCTTAATATAATTTCAAACTTACACAGAATTTACAAGATCACTTCAAAGAACTACGTATTACTAAAGAACTATTAACATTTTACCATCATTGCTTTATCATTTTCTCTTTATATATATGCATCTGCTTATGGTGTCAGTCCCACTCGCACCAGCTGCTGGCCCCAATCACACTGCGCTGTCAGTGGGTGCGGGTGGGACTGGCACCATCAGGGTGTGGGAGTGGCGGTGGCAGGAGAGGGGCTGCCAGCAGACAGGGGACGGGTTTGCATGGGGGTGCAGAGGATGGGCTGACACCCACCCCTGTGCCCACCGCAGCCTCATGGCCCAGAGTTCCTTCAAGGTGCACGAATTCGTGCACTGGGCCCCTAGTGTAATATATGACTTTTATATCATGTAAACCACCTACAGCAAGCAGTAAATTAAACATCGTAGTCAAGTCCACTTTTTCTTTCAACAGTGCTGAAAGAAAAAGTGGTGCTGAAAGGATTGTCCTGGTGCTGAAAGGATACACTTCTGTTTCCAGTCTTCAACCCAGGTCATTACAAGTTTCTCCATGTCTGATACAGACTCTTCTGGAATTTGTTAGTCTCATTGCCTTCAATAAAGCAGATCCTTGAATAGCTTGTCACTTTGTTTTTGTTTTTTAAGATGGTAGCTATGGTGAAATGGGACATACCCGACTAATGAGCAATAACCATAATTGATTTTCCACCTTGGTAATCCTTAATTTTATTTTCCTTTCCCGGCCCATCACTTGATGTGGCCTCTTACTGGCAACATTAGCAGTGGATCTTGTACACAGGAGCCATGATGAATAAAACAACATGAGATTAAATCAAGAACAAGAGAAAATGATGCTATTAGGAGACACAGTAAACACGAGATGCACAAGGCTATCTATAGCCGGGGTAACACAATTCACTGTTTTATGCTAACCTTTTTTTTTTTAAAAAAAATATATTTTATTGATTTTTCACAGAGAGGAAAGGAGAGGGATAGAGAGCTAGAAACATCGATGAGAGAGATACATCGACCAGCTGCCTCCTGCACACTCCCCACCAGGGATGTGCCCGCAATCAATGCACATGCCCCTGACTGGAATCGAACCCGGGACTCCTCAGTCCGCAGGCAGACGCTTCATCCACTGAGCCAAACTGGTTTCGGCTAACCTTTTTTTTTTTTTTTTTTTTTAATAAGCAGGAAGAGTACACTCTAAAATAATAATAAAAACTATATAAACTAGTAACAGTCATTTATTATCGTGACTGTACATAACTGTATGTACTATACTTTTATAGCACTGGAAGAACAGATGTATTTACACTAGCATCACCACAAACATTTGGAAATATTAGATATAGGCAGTATTTCTAAGGAAATAATATATGTAAAAATTAATTGAGCTATATATACTCTTTTTAAAAAATAAGATTTTTTAAATTAATTTCAGAGAGAAAGGGAGAAGGGGAGAGAGAGAGAACCATTAATGATGAGAGAAAAATCACTGACTAGCTGCCTCCTGCAGGCCTCACACTGAGGATGGAGCCCGCAACCTGGGCACATGCCCTGATCGGCAATCAAACCATGACCTCCTAGTTCACAGATTGACGTTCACCCACCAAGGCATGCCATGACCTGTGCACACTACTGTATATATATTTCAGTAACTTTTTTAAAAATCTAAGATTGACCGAAACCGGTTTTGCTCAGTGGATAGAGTGTTGGTCTGCAGACTGAAAGGTCTCAGAGTGGGACCCCATCCAGTTTACAATTCCTCAGATCCATAAGGGACACACTCAGGTGCAGACTCAGTCAGCACCAAAGCCCCACTGAAGCAAAGCTTATCTCATAAGGGTGTCTCCAGCACAGAAGTTCTCCCAGCATAGACACAGCTGGTCCTCATAGTCAACTGGCCATGAGGTCAATTCCTCCCAGTGATATCATCAACAATCAAGGTTTAACTACAACAAGACTATGCAGACAGCCCACAATGGGGTGCACCAAGAGTGTCCATCTCAGGTAAATGGGGAGGCTGAGCCACCTGTCCCTATAGGACACCTAGCACACAAAGCTACTCTAACAACTTAGGGAAGCAGCCAAAATGTGGAGACAAAGAAATAAGCCACAAATGAAAGAAATGGAGGAAAGCAAATGACTGACTAATAAAGTCCAAAACCATGGTTATAAGTTTTTCAAGAATTTCCTCGAAAAGGCCGATAAATTTAAAGAGACCCTCAAGGATATGAAAAAGGACCAACTATAAATTAAGCATACACAGAATGAAATAAAAAATAATATACAGAGCCAAAACCAGTTTGGCTCAATGGATAGAGCACTGGTCTGCAGACTGAGGGGGTCTCAGGTTCGATTCCGGTCGGGGGCATGTACATTGATTGCAGGCACGTCCCTGGTGGAGGGTGTGCGGGAGGCAGCTGGTCGATGTTTCTCTCTCATTGATGTTTCTGGCTCTCTATCCCTCTCCCTTCTTTTCCGTAAAAAAAAATCAATAAAATATTTAAAAATATATTTATACAGAGATCCAACACCAGACTAGAGGATCGTAAGAATAAAGTCAAAGATTTGAAATATAAAGAAGCAAAAAACTCCCAACCAGAAAGTAAAAAATAAAAAAAAGAATCCAAAAATATGAAGATAGTGTAAGGAGCCTCTGGAACAACTTCAAGAGTACCAACATCATCGCCAATACCGGTTTGGCTCAGTGGATAAAGCATTGGTCTGTGGACTGAAAGGTCCCAGGTTTGATTCGGGTCAAGGGCTTATACCTTGGTTGCGGGCACATCCCCAGTGGGGGGTGTACAAGAGGCAGCTGGTCGATGTTTCTCTCTCATCGATGTTTCTAGCTCTCTCTCCCTCTCTCTTCATCTCCGTAAAAAATCAATAAATTAAAATAAAATAAAAAAAAGAGTACCAACATTAGAATTATGGGGGTGCCAGAAGAAGAGAGAGTGCAAGATACTGAAAACCTATTTGAGGAAATAATGACTGAAAACTTCCTCCACCTGGTAAAAGAAATAGACTTATAACTCCAGGAAGTACACAGAACTCCAAACAAAAGGAACCCAAAGAGGACCACACCAAGACACATCATAATTAAAATGCTAAGAGCAAAAGAAAAAGAGAATCTTATAAGCAGCAAGAGAAAAACAATTACATACAAGAGAGCACCCATAAGATTGTCAGATGATTTCTCAACAAAAACTATGCAGGCCAGCTGGGAGTGGCAAGAAATATTCAAAGTGATGAATAGCAAGAACTTACAACCAAGATTACTCTACCTAGCAAAGCTATCATTCAGAATTGAAGGTCAGATAAAGAGCTTCACAAATAAGGAAAAGCTAAAGGAGTTCATCACCACCAAACAAGTATTATATGAAATGCTAAAAGGTATTCTTTAAAAAGAGGAGGAAGAAGAAAAAGGTAAAAATAAAAATTATGAACAAATACATATCTATCAACAAGTGAATCTAAAAATCAAGTGAATAAAAACATGATGAACAGAATAAATGGTGAATATAATAGAATCAGGGGCATAGGAAGAGAGTGGACTGACAATTCCCAGTGGACAGACAATTCCCAGGAGTGGGGGGAAGGGGTGTGGGGGATGCAGGAAGACTGGACAAAAATCATACACCTATGGATGAGGACAGAGGGGGAGCGTAAGGACGGGGGAGGGAGGGCAGGAGGGAGGACTGGGTAGAGGGGAGCTATGGGGGGTGGGAGAGGAACAATTGTAATAATCTGAACAATAAATATTTATTTAAAAAATAATAAAAATTTACAAAAAGATATATGTAGACAGTATTTGACATGACTTATCTTAGCCACAGACTCCATCTTGACATAGCTTATGTCTATTTTCAACACATACACGCTTCATGCCGGAGACCCAGGTTCCTTGCTAGCTGAATTCTGATTCATTCTCAAGTTCCACATTGAAGCCACTGTTACTAAAAATAACTGACATCCTGTCTACTTGCTCCCCCTTTGGATTTTATCTGAAAAACCATATAATAAATCTCGTTCCATAGACTCTCATGCAAATCAGTCTCTACTTGGTTGGCTCCACAATAAGTTTCCTACAATTTTTGTGAACTAAAGTTATATAACTTAAGGGGGGAAAAAATATAACTCAAAATGACTTCCAGTAATCTAGACAGTCAAAACGTTCATTTGGGATTCTTGTAAATTCTAGCAGCAAAATATGACACAGCCATACTAACCTTGGTTCAGGTAAGTGAGTGTCTCATCGTGCAGTTTCACTGCCGGAGATGTCGCGGCACACATCACATACTGAAAGGGCGGGTTTTTAGTTTCATCGTCCAATGGAAGGCTAGAATCTTCCTGCTTGAAAATGGGCAATGCCAAGACATCACTGAAAAGCAAAAAATAAAAAATAAATCAACATTGACCTTACTTTGGGTTTGAAATACTTAAAAGCATGTAAAAATGTTCAGGGGTAGTTTCTTTTAAAGTTTAAGTTTAGAAATGATGCACAGAATAAAAAAATTATCAATGCTAATCTGGCTCTAGTAAATTATATTAAACCTGTTATCTTTAGTGTGGCTGTGAGGCAAAGAGAAGCAGCTCTGATTAGACAGCTCAAATAAGAAGTATTTAATAGTTAATAAAGTCCATGCTACTGATAAAGGCTAACAATAAAAATGTCATTTAAAAAGTCACTTCAAAAAAATTTTTAAACACTTTAAACTCCATATCGTTCTAATAAAAATTTAAAAAAAAAAAAAAAAAGAGCAAGTCAAGAGTGTGTAGCTGCCTGTTTTGAAAGGCAAGAACTATTGCTGCCAAAGGTAGGTCACATTAGCACCATGAAATCACAAAGAATCATTTGATTAAAATGGCACTTTATAAAAAGTTTCCTGCTAGGCTTGGCAAGTGCTGAGAGCATAAAGCTTCGTGCTTAGTCTAAAACAATGGCATCTTCTGAGAAGCAAACAGTGGCAGTAAAAACAACTGCTGTTTTTTCTCCCAAGAATAACCTGGGGCATTAATTGGGAGGCAAATGGGAGTGGAGGTGGGGGTGTCTTCTGGGCCACTGCCTATATTCTCTGTTAACCTGGGAGGTTAAACATATGTGGATGTTTGGCTTGCTTTTAATTTTAATACTTAAAAACAGCTGATATTTGTTACATATCACAAAACTCATACTTTTAAAGTATATAATACAGTGGGCTTTAGTATATTCAGAATTGTGCAGTCATCATCACTACTTCCAGAACATTTTCATAATCTCAAAAAGAAATCTTGTACCCGTTGGCAGTCATTCCCTGTCTCTTTTCCCCCTACCATACTCCCAACCCCTGGCAACCACTGATCTATTTTGTCAATATGGATTTGCCATACTGGTCATTTATTTTTTTAAAATATATTTTATTGACTCTTTACAGAGAGGAAGAGGGGGACAGAGAGCCAGAACCATCGATGAGAGAGAAACATCAACCAGCTGCCTCCCACACACACACCCCACCGGGGATGTGCCTGCAACTAAGGAACATGCCCCTGACCAGAATCGAACCTGGGACCCCTCAGTCCGCAGGTTAACACTCTATCCACTGAGCCAAACCGGTTTCGGCCATACTGGTCATTTAATCAAACAGAATCACATGGTCTTTTCTTAATCTGTTTTCAAGGTCCACCCATGTTATAGCATGTATCATTACTTCATTCCTTTTTATAGCTGAATGATATTCCATTGTATGGATATACCATTCTATTTATCCACTCATCAGATGATAAACATAAAGACTATTACCAATTTTTGGCTATTATTCATAATGCTGCTGTGAACACTTGTATGTTTCTGTGTAGACATATGTTTAATTCCCTTGGATATCTGTATCTATCTAGGAGTAGAATTACTGGGTCATATGGTAACTATGTTTAACTTTTTGAGCAAGTGCCAGAGTGTTTTCCAAAATGGCTGCACCATTTCACATTCCTACAATTAGTGTATGAAATAACTGACATAATTCACCAAGACGTACATTTACATCTTGATAATTTTTCTATATTCATTTTTCAATAAAAAGTAAAATAATAGCCGAAATCGGTTTGGCTCAGTGGATAGAGAGTCAGTCTGCGGACTGAAAGGTCCCAGGTTCGATTCCGGTCAAGGGCATATACATTGGTTGCGGGCACATCCCTGGTGTGGGGTGTGCAGGAGGCAGCTGGTCGATGTCTCTCTCTCATCGATGTTTCTAGCTCTCTCTCTCCTCTCCCTTCCTCTCTGTAAAAAAAATCAATAAAATATATTTTAAAAAGTAAAATAAAAGTCAAATGAATAACTACTATAACACCAATATCAAAGGCTTGTCTGGATTGCTTTGTTTCCTTTTCTGTTTTCTGCAAGCTGTTGACTAACTCAGGTATTTGGCTGGCCCATTTTAAGTAAATTTAATTTACAAACAAAATATGGAAATGAAATGGACGGAAAATTCTGCATTCCCTCCTTCTGGGATACATTTCTATTAAATCACTTGACTGATTATTCAGAAACTAGCTGAAACTGGTTTGGCTCAGTGGATAGAGCGTCAGCCTGCAGACTGAAAGGTCCCAGGTTCGATTCCAGTCAAGGGCACATTCCCAGTAGGGGGTGTGCAAGAGGCAGCTGATCGATGATTCTCTCTCATCGATGTTTCTAACTCTCTATCCCTCTCTCTTCCTTTCTGTAAAAAAATCAATAAAATATAATTTTTTGAAAAAGAAACTAAATTACCACTAGTTCTACTTCTCCTTTATTAATACAATACCTAAGAATTATGAAAACACTCTTCTGCACACAGTATAACTGAGGAATGCAGTCAGCAATCTCCCCCAGCCCTCCTCTGGAGTTCTCAACACTGTGATCTAGGTAGGGGCTTAGTTCCACTTATGTGGAACAAAAAACACCCACACACACACACACACACACGATTTATGAACTCAGAGCAGTTCTCTTCTACACCAGCCACAATGGCTCTACAGTAGATGAAAATATGTATATACCTATGTTATATATATATGTAAGCATTTAAAATCCTCTTGGTGAGAATATAAATAAGAATGAAAGCTAAGACTTAGAAGTATTAGTTAATTATACTGAAAAGTGACATGGGGAATGTATAATTTTAAGATCCCAATGCTAACTGTGTAGGTTGATCAATAAATACACGCCATCAAAATATGACATAAGATGGGCCTGCGTGGCTCAGTGGTTGAGCACTGACCCATGAACCAGGAGGGTCACGGTTTGATTCCCGGTCAGGGCACATGCCTGGGTTGCAAGCTCGATCCCCAGTGTGGGGTGTGCAGGAGGCAGCCAATAGTGATTCCCGTCATCATTGATGCTTCTATCTCTCTCCCTCCCTTCCACTCTGAAAACAATTTTTAAAAAGCCCTAAGTGGTTTGGCTCAGTGGATAGAGCATCGGCCTGTGAACTGAAGGGTCTCAGGTTTGATTCCCGCCAAGGGCATGTACCTTGGTTGCAGGCACACCCCCAGCTGATTGATGTTTCTCATCATTGTTTCTAGCTCTCTATCCCGCTCCCTTCCTCTTTGAAAAAAGTCAATAAAATATATATTTTTTTTAAAATGAAGAGGAAAAGAGATCTTTCCTCTCCAAGCAACCACACAGAACAAGCTATGTGAATACACATATAAGGCAGCTGCCTATAAGCCAAGAAAAGAGGCATCAGAATAAATTCTACCTTGCTGGAATTCCAGTCTCCAGAACTGTAAGAAATAAAAGTCTGTTTTTACAAATAATAATAAAATAAAATGAAAATATGTATATACCTATGTCATATATATGTAAGAAGACTGTCCAACCAGCATGGTTCAATAGCTGAAGTTTGACCTATGAACCAGGAGGTCATGGTTTAGGCACATGCCCAGGTTACAAGGCTCAACCCCCAGTGTGGGGCATGCAGAAGGCAGCTGAACAATGATTCACTCTCATCACTGATGTTTCTGCCTCTCCATCTCCCTCTCCCTTCCTCTATGAAATCAATAAAAAAAACAAAAAATTAAAAAAAAAAGGTAATTCCTAGAATAAGTTCATCAAGGTTGTGGAGGGGAAAAAGGCAAGACACAAGAAAAAAATTTAAAAATAGATACTATATATATAGCATTCCCAAGTGATTCTTCCAATCCAGAACGATCATATTCTCATTACCTTGAGAAGACTTCTCAATTATTAATTGGTAGGTAGCAAAGGATGCCACAGAAAGAGTGGGGTGGTGTCAAACTTCAGTTCAAATCCAGCTCTGCCATTTGTTGAGTGATACTATGGTAGGCTATTTAACTTCTCTGAGCTCTAATAACGGGTTTGTTTTTAATTTAGAATATTTTAACTACTCTAATTCTAGGGACACATTAGATCAAAGGTTCTCAAAGTGTGGTCCGTGTAATATTGGGGAACTCGAGACTCTTCCAAGAGGTCAAACCTATTTTCAGAATACACTATTGCCTTTTTTCACTTTGTTGACATTTGTACTCGTGGCACAAAACCAATGGTGATTAAAACTGCTGGTGCCTTGGCATGAGTCAAGGCAGTGGCACCAACTGCAATAACAGCCATTGTTTAAAATTAACTTTATTATATATCAGTCCTTGGGTAGGTATAATGTATTTCTGGGCACACCTATTATATATCAGTTCTTGGACAGGTATAATGTATTTCTGGGCACACCCACATGCTATGGTTGTCTCAAGGAAACGATTCTAGCACTGGGATCTGACCTAGCAGTTTCTCTCTCAGAATATCATTTTTAATTTGAAAGAAAAACTGATAAACTGTGAATACTCAGACCTGGGTATTTAACAAAAACTTCCTCAAAAATGAATAAGTGAACCCATCCTTTACAACTGTGATATTTGTTGCCAATGATAAAATCTGAACCCTCCACCATGTGCTTTCTCTGATGAGATAGTGGCCACATTAAGGAATGTGATTTTTCGATTTCGCCTAGTGAAAAGCATCAACATTTAGAAGATCCGCACAACTCAGGAAAAACCACTGTTTTTTCCCCCCAAATGAACAATGCATGCACATTTCAAAATTATGCAGGGTAAGAGATCAGATTAAGTTCAAGACAGACCAAATGATTCTAATGTAACAAGACAAAAAAACACATTGACACAACTGCCAATTCTAAGTTTTCAATTTTAAGAAATCATCACTTCCCCATATGTATCTGAAGCTAGACTTTCTTCATGTATATCAACCAAAACGATATATTCCAAAAGCAGATAATTGATTTGTTTTCTAAGTGAGATATTAAAAAGATGTGCAAAAAGCATAAGACAATGCCACTCTTTTTCATATATTTTATTTAGGAGAATAATATTTTAAATAGGAAACATTGAGAGGGAGAG